AGCAATGCAATGTTTGGTGGGATAACATTTTATCCCACTGATAAGACCGAATGAACAGAACAGAAACTTACCAATAAACTGACTTTCAATTATTAACACAGAGCTGCAAAGTCTGTGTTCAACTGTGAATAAAAAGCATGTCAGTTATTACGTAATCTCACTATAACCACCAGTGTTGTCTATGAGAATTCCTTCAGCAACCTCTCTATCAGCTGACTACCACAAGGAGTCATCAGGCAAGAGATGATCTGCTTATAAACTGTTACATATTGGTTGATAAATTGTTCTGCCTGTGCTATTTCCATTTCTAACCGACTGTATTTCAAATCTAATCACACCTCTAGATATTGTGCATATGCATCCCCTAAAATTATTATGTGAGCAGTTAAAGGGAAAATTACTCTTATTTTTTGTGCACTATTGTGGATTTAATTTCAACAAGTGTTCTTGAGCTGAACATGACAGCGACACACTGATGTGATGAGGTTGTTCATACTCAGTAAATAATGAACAGCTGCTACGGGACAATATGACAACCACTATGATGACGACTTAAGTTTGGTTTTGTGATTGAAAGCTAATTTGGATGACAAACAAATGACCACAAACAGACATAGTCACTAATTGTCAGTTTGTATCCTCTTTGTAACCCCATATGACATGTACAGAATAAGAGTATATTATTATATATATATAAAAAGAGAAATCAATATTCAGGCAGTTTGATTCAGGTGAAAAAACATTTTGTTTTTTTATTGCCACTTTTAAAAGTTACTCATAGTGGATATCAATTCAGTTATTAAATACACTCTATGACACTGGTTCCCAACCGGGGGTCCTGACTAGAGATTTTCTGATACCATTTGTATACACACACACATATACATATATATATATATGTATACATACATATATATATATTGTTTTTTTCTTTTTTTTTACAAGCCTATACTACTATGATTACTATTATTGTTGTATGTCCTGGTTCAGATTAAACCCTTTGTCAGAGTCACAATACGGTGGGTCATGACTTCACTATCCTGGGGGCAGGGTCCATTTCAGGGATAATAACTCACGTAGCATCGGATCAGTACGCAGACAGGCGTACGCTCTGATACCTGATACCGCATTTTAAGCAGTATCGGAGGAAATCCAGATACTGGTATCGGTATCGGAATAACTTTATGTCTTGACCCTCTGTAGAGGTCACCAAATTTTCACGTGGACTTGTGAGGCCATGATTTTAAGGGGTCAGGGAGAAGAAAATTTAAAATTGGTCAAAAAAAGATTAAGTATGTATGATTGTTATAAATAAAATACATAAAACAGGAAGCTCATCTCTGATCAGTGTTCACAGGAAATAATCTGCTCAGAATTCATCCAAACTTCCTGCAGTTATTGTGTTCAGTTCAGGTTCATTGTACAGTTCATCAGTGGTTCTCTTCTGTTATTGTTATTATTGAATATGAAATATACATGAAAATGTGTCATTCAGGGGCCGTCAGTTTACCCAATGAGAGAAAAGGGCTCACTTACGGTAAAAGGTTGGCCAACACTGATCTATGAAAGTTATGAAAAATGAAATGAAAACTCGCAAGCAACAACCACTGATTCTGCTAATGTAGTCTGTGAGACTATAAACCAAAAATATTAGTTATGACAGATGTCTTGTACCAGCCATAGACAGTGATAGCACCAATGTTTTCAGCTCCATACAAAGAGCATAGATACATTTGTCATGGATGGCTTGGCTACACAGCTAAATGTAAAAAACTGTTTTAGTACATAGCAGTACAAATACAGTACCTTGTCTCTTCATTCTGGTAATAAACATTTACTTGAGTCATGACCACTGACTGTGTACAGTCAGTCATTGTTTTTGGCATGAAAGAAATACAAGCTGACTTCATTTAGCAACCATTCATTTGTGAAGACAACATTCAACCTGAGAGGTGCCATCAAAAGGGCGGCTGTGGCTCAGAGGCAGAGCAGGTCGTTCCTCAATCGGAAGGTTGTGGGTTCGATCCCCGGCTCCTGGTGCCACATGTCGAAGTATCCTGAACCCCGAATTGTTCCCGATGCCGTGCATCGGTGTGTGAGTGTGTATGAATGTTAGTTTCTGTTTGATGGACTTTGCCATCACTGAGTGAATGTGTGTGAAAGGGTGAATGTGGCACGTAGTGTAAAAGCGCTTTGAGTGGTCGGAAGACTAGAAAGGCGCTATACAAGTACAGGTCCATTTACCATCCATCAAAACTGATTGGTGGAACAGGAGCTTTCGTAAAGACTGGAAATACAAATTATGGAAGGTCAAACAACAAATTCAGATGAAATCATAGAAAATGTAGGTAAAACCAACAAGTGCAAAACATCTTTTGGACAGCTTTCTCTTTGGACCTCAGCAGCCATTGTTCAGCATGTCGTGACTCATTTTTGCATAGCAGTTGAGTAAACACTGTAAGGCTCCATTTGTTGTCTTCAGGGAGATTAGTGCCTGGCTGCTGTTGTTTGATTAAATTTGGTCTACACAGCAAGACAGTTTCAAACATTGCAATGGGATGGGATGGGATGGTAAGGAATGGTAAAAGCACCAGGTTGAAAGCTGGTTGGACAAAAGGCTGCAGATGACACACGTTTAGTGCAACCATCAAACCACAAGCATGTCTTCAGGGTAAACAACCTTTTTTTTCCTGCGCTTTCCTTTCATAAAACCAGTTTGATCACAGTTGTTTACAGCATGGCTTGAGTATCACAAACATGTCAAGAGACATAACATGTGGAACATGTTGGTTATGTTTCCCTTCACATAGTAAGAGGTTTTGTTATGCCAATAGGTATCCAGTCTGACTGGTAGTGTAGTATTCTAATTAGTTTGTACGCTACAAATGCCCAGATAGGCATTTGTGATATTTATTTGTTATAGTTCACAATGCTTGCACATTTTGCATTGCACATATTTTATCACCCAGCCAATCTAACATGTCAGTGTCATCATTTGCTTTATGCTTGAGAAGCTTTGAAGCCTTCATCTCCCTTCAACTCATAATTGATTGTAGAAAGTATTAAAAGGTGTTAGAAATGCATTTAGTGGACTAAAGCATCTGGTAAAATAAGTGTGGGTAAAACGACCATCAATTTAGTCTTCAAGATCTTTGACAAATGCCTCTTCTCATTAATTTAAAGCCCCTGTGTGTACAATTTACCTTTCCCAAGTCCCACCCTTTTTTGCTCTGTGCCCATGACCCTGTCTCCGGTTCTTTTCCTTCCTTGGACCACTTTTGACACTTTTGATAGGTACCACTGCAGACCAGGAACACCCCACAACAGCTGCAGTTTTGGAGATGCTCTCACCCAGTTGTCTAGACATAACAATTTGGCCCTTGTCAAAGTCACTCAAATCCTCCTGCTGCCCATTTTCAACATAGATTTGCCTACCACATAGTATAGCTTAAGTACAGGAAAGGAGGACGTTGACAAGGTTCTTACAGAGGATTGCTCAACTGTTATTGGACCACAGAGCAAAATGGGTGGCACTTAGGAGGGGCCATATTACATGTGATTATCAAATTAAAACAATTCAGGTTATTATCCTGATTCTCTGTGTCTATGGTTCAAACCTGTGGGAGTGGTGAAAAGACGTGTTGCAGTGTGTATTGTCTGTTCTGTCACATTGTTTTTTGATAACACTAGGAGTCACTTTCTCACTCATTTCCAAATCCTACATTGAAAGGCTTTAATATTATAATATTATTATTCTCTTAGTCTTAATCCAATGATATATTTTATTGTCTACCGATTCAGTTCTTAATACATTTTTTACAGAAACCAGTCTTACATTCTAAAGATGCTGCTAGTCTTGCTAACCAACTGGTTTATAGTGGTGTGAGAGAAGCAACCAGCTAACTAGCCAAGATCATTATCCTTACAGCCTCCAGCTCTTTTTAGCAAATCTAAAAGTAACAGGGTCTACCCAAAAGTAGTGTTTTAGCTTGTGTGTACACCTCTGACAGTCAGATTGGTGAGGGGGCACGCAGTGAGCTGCTGAGGGCCATGTCTCCAAACACGTTGGTGTAGGAGGCTTTGAGGAACTGGACATAGTTCTGCAGGCTTCGGTTGGTACTGTCGGACTGCTCCAGGCGATCCTTCACATCCTGCAGCCGGCTCTGGTACCGCCGCTCCACCTGAGCATCATAAATATATACTTTATACACCTACAGACACAGCTGATACACACACATTCAAGTAAACTACCATTAGAAGCCTTTACCTCCTCTTTGCTGCGTCGTAGTTGGTTGATTTCTGAGGTAGTCCTGCTAAGTTGGGTCTCTAGGTCTAATATCTTGGACTGGATGGAGCGTTCTTTGGTGGCAGCACGTTCTCTGGTCTCTGACATCTGGCGATAAATACATGGTATGACACATTGGAGTGGGTAAAACAGTACATAACAACATGCACTTCAACACACGGTAACTTGCTTAGAATGACACATAGCTCAACACACCCAAGCTGCAGAGGCACATGGTTTTATCACTGAAGTGTAAGCGTGTGTTCAGACCAAGAGAGTTATGACCAAAAATATGTTTGTCAAAATCACAAGTGACCTTTTAAATTTTAAATCAGTTAATTCTCGGGTCCAAGTGGACATTTGTGCCAAATGTAACTAAATTCCCTTAAGGCATTTCTGAGATATCGTGTTCACAACCCAAAAACATGCCTCCAGTGAGCACTTGCTCGGGTAAAGAAGGGCACCTAACCAATCTCTGACTTTATTTCACACGCTTTGTATGGCCAATGTTTAACATCTGTTGTCAGTTTCAGACCTGTTGGCGAGCGTCATCCAGAGCCTCCTCTAGCTTTCGGCTCAGCAGGGAACATTCCCTGGTTTTTTCTTCCAGGCGGAGCTGATTGCTGTGGATGGTGTCTTCCCGTTTGGCAACGACCGCCAGAAGGTTGCTGTTCTGACTGCCAGCCTCTTCCAGCTTTCTGCGAGATGACACAGGAAAGAAAAGCAACAAAAGTGAACAGTTATAATAAACACACTGATTCCATCAGTGTTCATTGTTCAGGAGGTTTCTACTGGGAGCCCGATTATCCACAGAGGTCTCCTCTCCAAAACAAACAGACCTGCTGATTAAAACCACTAAAGACACTGAATAAAGCAGTTCCACCTTAAAAATCAGTACTTTTCCCACACCGTTGGACAGACAAAGGAGGTCCTGGAGGGACTGCGAGTCGAGCTGCTGCTAACGTTAGCTCAGCTTGTTTCTCTGATAACTTAAGATCCAGACGTCCGATGACTAAAATCCTTCATCCGGTTCAAATCTAGAGTTAAAAAGCACCAAGATCTAAACAGTGGATGGTAACAATGTGGCTTCAGACTGGATAAACAGTCAATGTGTGACAGCTTCTGGCAGACAACCACAACGCTGACGCAGGCACAAAGGGGATATGACACATATGACTACATATAGAACATAGCTCCAGAGTTTGTAGACACTGACTACAGTCTGCAACTGAATAACAGTGTCAGTGACACCATTAACCTATGAAAATGACAGAACAGTTAGAATAGTTGTCTGTACATCTACAGGCACACTGCAAAGAACAACTGATATTAGCTAATTCAGCTAATTCAAATGCCATTTGTAAACAAATATAGGATTAACAACTTCATGGCAGCTTTACATTTCCTGTTTACATATATTATGGGAACTGTTGTCCGAAAACTTAGAGAATGTCCCCCACATAGAAGGAGGGAGGGCACAACTGTCTCAATTTTGGGCTCACAATGCCAGACCCTGGTCTGGACAGAGCGTCAGAGCCAGTGGAGAAAAGCAGAAATTGGTGACCAACCTTTCCAAACTCTCCACTCGCTGCTGAAGCTGTCGGTTCTCCTCTAGCAGCACTTTGTTCTTCTGTCTTAGAAGGTCCATCTGGCTGCCCTGGGTCTCCACCTAACACAACACAAGACCCTTATCAGACAACTCGGACTGTGTATACAGTATAGATTCTAGCAAGACTGAAGTGGTACTTTAAAGAACAAAAAAAGCAAAAAACTGCAGTTAGAATAAATGTATTGACAAAATTAGGACTTTAAATCATTATTTTGTGATGCCTCTATGCATAGGACTGTTGTGACCTTCATGCGGAGATCAGTCAGGGTGGTGCTGAGCTCCATGCTGCGTCTCTCCTGGTTGCGCTCCATGTCCTGAGCCTCCCGCAGTTGGAGTTCAGTGTGTCGTAAGGCTTCGGGCAGAGGCTCCAGCTCTGCCAGCCGACCCAGCAGCTCTCTGCGCACCTCTTCTATCTCCTGTTCCAGCTCCCTCCGCACGGCCTGGGCTTCCCGCTCTGCCTGAGCCAGCCGAGCACAGTACTCGTCCGCCTCCGCCCGGGTTTTTCCAACCTGTGCAGCATTGAAAGGAAAACTTTTTCATGAACATGAACAGTGTCCAAGGGACTGTAATCTGCTGTGCTATCACAGCCTCATACTGTTGTATTGCTAGTAATTCAGTACTCTTCATATACCTGGATCTTGTAGCTGTCCAACAGGCTTTCATATTGCTTGATGGAAGCTTTGACCTGCTGGAGCTCTGACTGGGACAAGGCCAGTTTCTCCTCCACTGCAGATGCTGTAGCCTGACAGGAACACACGGCTCAAGCTCCAGTTATTAAATTAACAGGACAGTCCATCCTCATAATGTAATACAAGTCAATGTAAGTCTGTCAGAATGAACAAGACTAGGTAAAAACCTAGTACATGACTCGACCGTGTATGAAATGCAAGATGGCTTTTCATTTGAAATGGATACAGGAAGTGGCGGCATTCGGCCAACTAATGGTGTAACTTCATCAGAAACTTTTGTGTTCATAGGGCTGGACCTGCAGTTGTGGTTCAGTCAAAAAGTGGGATAGGAAGGTCACAAATGAATAAGACATATGCGGAAATTCTAATAAGGGCATGGTCAGGTTAACATTTAATAAATGTGTTCTCACTGTAAAGGCAATGACAGCTTTCTGTGGACTGTTGAAACTGTGTTACCTTGAGGGACTGGTTCTCCAGTTTGGCAGCAGTGCTCTCTGTGCTCAGTCCGTGCAGGTGATCCAGCAGAGCTTCTCTCTCCACTCGGCCTTTCTCCTCTGAACTCTGCAGCTGCTCCGTCAGCTCTGTTACACGGCTGCTCACATTACACAACAGCAGTTGTTCCAATTATTTATTGAAAATGTTGGAGTTTTGAACCAGAACCAGCAGTAAAAAAAATGCTCATTAGGGTTATGTTGCATCTCAAAAAGTGGAATTCTTTCTCCAGTTGCAGCAGGTACACTGATTTCACGACAATGGGAGCTTCACACATTATTAGAAACATTCTCTGTCAATTAGATTTGAAGATGAATTACCACAGGTACTGGGTGGATAAAACAGCTGCACAATGTCCCAATTGGCATGTCTACAAAATGTGACACCCAATTTGCCCAACCGTACAAACAGATGCTTTCTCCAGTACGAGTGATTTAAGGTGCAGTTACCTGTTCAACAGCGACAGTTCAATCTCCAGTTTACTCTTTTCTTTCACTTCTTGGGCATGGTGACTCTGCCAGCTCTCAGCTGCTGACAGTGCATCTGCCACCTGCTTCTCCTGTTAAAAAGAAATCAAAACTGACTTTTTTTGTTTTTCAACAGCAAAAGCAAAAGAAGTGTAGGTGTGTGTGAAGCTTTCTTTAGATGAAGATGAATTGAAAGAAACAACCAATGCCAAGAAGAATAAAAGAGCAGTTCAGTATGTCAGGAATCTAGGTACAAATACCTCGTGAGGTGTTAACTTTAATTATATGAACCAAACATGTCCTGTGTGTCTAGTCAATCTAGAGCTTTAGTAGAGCAGCCTGCCAGCTCTGTGACACAGCCCTACCATGTCCATCAGCTGGACGCTCAGCTGGCCTGCAGTGCCCTCGCTGCGCTCAGCTCGCTGTTTCTGGGCTCGCGTGGCTCGTTTCAGAGCCTCACGGTCTGCACTGGCCTGCTGCTTCAGCCTCGCCAGCTGTTCTGTCAGATGCTCCATCTCCGCCTTCTGCTGGTTGGCTGCACGCTCCAAGTTCTGAACCAACGGAAAGGACAAAAACAAGGATTACAGCTGGGTTCACTGCTTTCCACAGCAACTGCTCTATCAGACAACAGTTAAAAAATCTTGAGTCTGACTGCAGTGCCCTCAAACTTTATCAACAAGTCTGTAATGAGAACACACAACACAAACAATAGATATGACACATGATGACATGTGCCAGGAGGGAGAGATCATGACCATGACAAACCTTTATCTGCACAGTAAGCCGGTTGTTCTCAGCTTCTTTGCTGCGGAGCTGTCCTTGTAAATGAGCTCTTGTTGACTCCAGACTCTTGGACAAATCAGCTGTGCTCTTGGCATTGTCCTGCATTGCCAAAATCCAGCAGAATTTACATTAGGGTCAAACATGTATTCTGATGTTTGACCAACATGGCTAAAGCATTAAATGCCCCAGTCAGTGCTCTGAAGTCCCGTTGTCTTGCTGACAATAAAAATAACACCAGGGACACAAAGATACAGTGTCTGAGACAATTGTGGGACAGCAGAGAAAAGTATCAATACGAATGAAATTATTACATTTATGCAACATGGAATATATGCCATTGTACATGTATCATCTTAATTATTAGGTGTTTCAAATTCGAAAAATGTAAGGTGGCACAGTACATCACATGTGCTTAGACACAAAATCAATCATAGAACGAGACCAGTGTTGCCAACTTGGTAATTTCCTCGGTAGATTTAGCACTTTATAGACCCTCTTAGGGACTTCATTTCTAAAAAGCAACTAGTGACAAATAGACTTACTCAAGAGTCAGACCATCAGGGAAAAGGCAAGAAATATATTCAAATACATTATATTGTAATTCATTCCCAGGGCTGCTGCTCAGAGTAACGGCAGTCCACAGCTCTTCTGCCAACAGCAACAGGCTCTCTCCCCCTCCAGTAGGTGGGTTGTGTGAGGCATGTTTGACCTTCTCTCGCACTCTTTCTGTCCTCATCTCTGGATCAGGGTGTTCCAATAGCTTATATGTAAACAGTTTGTTTGAGCTTGTAAATATTTAGATAGCTTGTTTGATCTTCTCCCACCCTTTGTAGTTTTTACTTTTACTTTTCAATACAATGTCCCTGTTGTGAGTTTCTGATTATTGGGCTAAATAATAATAATGTTCAACAGGTGTGTAGGTTTCATTTCCATAAAGTAGCAGAACTAGTTGTTCCCTGCACAATGGTGGACCACAGTAAGTCAATGAAGTGATGTGAGTTGCTGAAACACAGTTATTAAATGATATTCATTATGCAGAATGAAAACAGAGCTTCAATTTCTAGCGCAGCCTCAGTAACATATTGCTCTGTTTCGGGTCTCTGTTTAAGAAAGGTTGACAGAGCCGTATTGACTATAAATAGCATCAGAAATACTGACAGCTGTGCCCACAGTACCTTCTCAGTATCTAAAAGTCTGGAGAGTTGATCAACCTCTCTGTCCTTCTCTTGAAGTTTCACCACAAGTTGCTGTAAAAGGAAAGGCGAGGCAGGCTTTATTTACAGAGCACATTTCACACATGGGGGGAAGACTCAATGTGTTTTACATGAAGATAAAATAGAAACACAATACATAGGGAAAATAAATGATCAGCCTGTTCAATGAAAGAAAAAGCTACAAAACAGATGTTTAGATTTAGTAGGCGTGTATTAAACTCACAGCGTTTTCTGCCTCTGTGTCTGCCAGTCTCTTGAGTAATGCATCCTTCTGCTCTGACAGCCGCATTGAGTCCATCTGCTCAAAAAAAAAAAAAAAACAGTCCACCGACACACATTTTACTGTACAGAATCTTGCTGTGGAAAATCCCACAAGACAGCTATTTCGTTTGTTTTTCACAAGAAACATCATAATCATATACCGATATCTAGATCTATCTACATATACACAGTGCTGCTTGAAATGCAAACCTCCTGAGCATTTTGGAGTTTTCTATTGTTTTATGATTATTTCTTTATTGAATCAGAACCAGTATTTTTGTTTATCAATTCCATATACTTTTTTTAGGGGGGAAAATCAATTGTGTAATGAACAGACTAAATACATTTAAAAAAGTAAACTTTTGTAGGTAAAAAAGTTCGTGAACCCTGAGCTGCATTGCTTAAGGTTGTGTTTTGTACTAACTGACTGTATTTACTTAAAATGAATGAATGAAGTGAGAAATCGCGGCACTGACTGAAACTGATCAAACCAGGTCAGTTTAGTCTTACCATAATGAACCCATACAGGTCAATCGTGCCGAAGGTAGGGCTGCACATTTCATCTAAATATTGTAATCGCAATATGACAAAGTGCAATATGCAAACTGCAGGAGCTGGAATGTAATGCAATGCAAATGTACCAAACAGCATTACAATAAAGTAGAAAATGATATAATGCTGCAGAGATGCCCTGGTTAACAAATCTTGTTCTCCAGATTTAAGAAAACATGTTGTTTGGTACAGACCCCAAAATATTTCACTGATTTTCACCAATTCACCAATTTGATCACCAAACTCACAAAACTAACTGGAACTAAACTGAACTGAAAACAAAAATAAAAAAACGTGGATCTGGAGGTCTGTCCCAGGAGCAGTTCAGGAGCTGACTGCATTATGAGCTGCTGCCTTCGTAAAATCAGGATTTTTCTTCCCTCTATTCTTCCCTTTATCTGAAAGGCTGTTATCAGAATAGTTGGATAGGACATTTCTTCCTCTAAAGGTGCCATGATGTTCAAAATATTGGACCGAAATGTATTTGTGGCACATCCAAAAGACCAGAGTGCTCCCTGTGCTCCCACTCCAACATCTGACTCCCTGGTGTATTAGCAGACGTAGATGTTTTGAGGATGCATCACACGCGGTACCTGGGATCCGTGCTGCTCCCTGAGAAGGTGGCGCAGGGTTCGGTTTGTGGCCTCAAATGTCTCCAGTTTCTGCAGCAACAGCTCCTTTTGGCGGGCCAAGACCGAAGACTCAGAGCCAGACAGCCTCTTCACCAGCAAACAGAGAGACAGAGGCACAGGTTAAGGAAGGAAAGGTGCTGTTCTTTGCTCGAGAGAAAGTCAGAAATCTTTTGTTTTTTCTCTCCCAGGTTTCTAGAGCATGCTGGACCTGGCAGGGCACACACTGAGGCCAAATACTGAGCTAATACTCACACTGCCAGCAGCACCGCACAGTTTGGAAACAGATTCTCGCAGGGCTGAGACTTGCTTGGCAGCCGCCGTCCCATCTGCCTCTGCCTCAATCAGTTTCCTGAGCAGAACGTCTTTGTCTTGTTGTGTGCTGTCCCCGTCTAACCTGCGAGGACGAGACAGGAACAAGCGCATTTGTACACAAACGCATGAGCAGTTTTGTTGTTGTTATTGAGATTCTACAGTGATAATACCTAAAAAAAACAGTTCAACAGTTTATGGGAGAGGGAAGTGTCAAAATGAGAAAAAAAAAAAAACTATAAAAGAGGACAGCTTTAAAGACGAGCAATTAAATCAGATGTTCCTTTAATCTGCCTTCAGGCCACTGAGAAACAGGATCTAAATTCTAACCTTCTTTCCACTGGAGAGACATCAGACAGAGCAGCAGTTTTTTTTTTAATCCTGACTATTTTAATAGGATTTGTTCTATTCCACATCCCAGATGTAAAGTCACTTACAAAAGCATGGCTAAGATAAAGCTAGCATTGCTCTGAATCACAAGGACGGGGAAATTTTACTAGTGACTATTTATTTGCCGCTGAGCCTGTCTTAAAGATCTAATCTCCAACTTTCTTAAAAGCCTCTTTCTTGGTAGATATTTAGGGAAGCCCCAGATGTGTCTGAGTTATGATATGATATTATGATACTCTTTCTCATGTGAAGCAGTGTAAAAGTAGAATTTTTGCCTGTGGTAGTCGGTCTCCTCCAGCATCTTCTCCATGGATTGACGTAATCGCGTGTTCTCCCGTTCGGTCTCTTCCAGCTCCTTCGTTACTTCAGCCAGCTCCTCCTCCTGCTCAGCGATCACCCGTTGGGAGACATTCAGCTGCTCCGACTGACGCTCCAGCAGCTGCTCCTTCTTCCGCAGCTCCACCTGCACACACACACATAAACAATATGTCACTGATGTCTTGTGGACACTGCTCATGCAAACTCTGCGTATCTCAGTGTGCTCACTACCATCTCACGGTTCTGTACAGAACTCACGTTGAATTGTGCTTCACAAGTACACGCCCAGAAGTTATAAACTTAAAGCTATATGTAACATTTCCTCATTAAACAGTGTATAAACTCTAGAGCTATGTTCTATATGTAGTTGAGTTGTGTACTTCCTTTATCCCAAATGTTTCCAACAATGTTCAAACTCAGAGAAATCTGTCATTTTATTCAGCTAACGCTGCGTTTCACCGGTCGCCTGTCGATGGCGTCATATCCCCTTTGTGCCTGCGTCAGTGTTGTGGTTGTCTGCCAGAAGCTGTCATACATTGACTGTTGATCCAGTCTGAAGCCACATTGTTACCATCCACTGTTTAGATCTTGGTGCTTTTTAACTTTGAACCAGATGAAGGATTTTAGTCATCGGACGTCTGGATCTTAAGTTATCAGAGAAACAAGCTGAGCTAACGTTAGCAGCAGCTCGGCTCGCAGCCCCTCCGGGACGTCCTCTGTCTGTCCAACAGTGTGGGAGAAGCAGTGATTGTTAAGGTGGAACTGCTTTATTCAGTGTGTTTAGTGGTTTTAATCAGCAGGTCTGTTTGTTTTGGAGAGGAGGAGACCTCTGTGGATAACTGGGCTCCCAGTAGAAACCTCCTGAACCATGAACACTGAAGGAATCCTAACCGGGAGAAGCTGACTGATAATGTCAAATATATCTATGGATTTAAACCTAACAGGGACTTGATGAGGGAAGGACTTGTGTGATGCAGACCTGCTCAGAACAAAGTGAAAACAGAGGAGAAACTGACCTCATTTTTCAGAGTACTGACTTCAGTCAGTAAGCTGTCAATCTTCCTCTCATACTGGCTGATTCGTCCGTGCAGCCCTTCCTCTTCCTCTGATGTGAGGTCAGCCAATCGCAGCGCAGACTGGGAATGTTCTGGTTCTGGTTCAGGGAGCGGCGGTGAGATCTCAAGGCGGTGCGTTGGCCCCTTGGTGCACATGACACTTTGAGTAACATCTTTGGATGGATGGGATTCAGGTGTACTCTTCCTTCAAGATGTGCTACCTACCTCCCACTTGTACGAAGCGTCCCGTATGGAGCCCTTCCCTGGTGGTATCCATGGTGCTCGAGTTTTGACCTTGGCTGTAGGCCGGAGGTTCCCTCTGTCGACCTTAGCCTTCCCCTTTAAAACACAGAATGTGTGCAGCAGCATGTCACTGATGTCTGTCAGGCCTTTCTATGCGGCATAATAACTACACTGTATGAGAATACGTGTGTACCATGAGCAGGAACTACTGGCATGAGTTACACAAGATTTCCTAAATTTAGACGCAGCGATTGGGAAATTCTGGGCCAATGCTGATCTTTAAAATAACAATTTAGCCAATAGCTGAAGCCAATATTTTTTTTTTGTTATTTATTTGCCCTTTTGCGCCAGGGAAAGAACTGCATAAAGCACTTCGGTATTTGTGTGCAGTTTGTGCCAGTGCTGGAAAACTGAGGTGATTATTTCTCCAATATCCAAGAAATAACAAACACAACATTTGGTTGGCACAAAACAAAACTGACAACAGATAAACACTGGCCACCGATATCTGTGAATGCCATCCTATTTGCTGATACAGATGTTGGGCCGATATATCGGCGCATCCCCTACAAATGACATCACTTACAATATAGTAAAGTACATCTCTAACCTGAGGCGTCCTGGCAGGACTCGTCCTCTGGCTCTTCACGTGCACATGGACCGGTGTGGCGTCGTTGACATGCACATGAATTGGAGGTGAACTTGACCGAGTTCTCATTGTTTTCCTCTGTGAAGCAGTGGGCCATTAGTATCTCCAACAGCAGAATTTACAGCAGGAATGCGTGTTAAACTGATGACATGAGGGTTTGAGGTGTGTGTGTGTGTGTGTGTGTGTGTGTGTGGGAGCACAAGGAAAATAATTCCACACACAATTAGAAAATGTAATGGGAAATGTATGACTCATTTGACAGCACCAGATTTCAGCATGTCACTCCAGATAAGGCAGTTAACATTTCTGAAGTACAACACACTGACTGCATGTCAAACAGGGATAAAAACACACATGTTCAGAATATAGGCAAAAACAAGCAGGACAAACAATTATTACTGGCATTTCTTAGTGTATTTTGTATTCTTTAAAGTACTTTTGACCCATTATATCTCCTTGCAACAAAATATTATGGAATAGATTAATAAAAAACTACATATCAAGAAAAACAGAATTTAGTAGTAAACACTAACTAATCCCATTCATAATAACATAAATCAAATTAAGTTGCTAAAATCTACACAAATAATTAAAGCTATGAAAGACAAATGCACTGACAATATTTGGCACAAATGATAAATAGATATTCGGCAGTATGTTTAGATGGATGTGTTGGGTCTGTCAGTCTCAAAGACATCATGAAGGCAACGTAGCTTAGCAATAAGTATACATTAGCCTGACATTAGCATTAGCTTAATAGCTAACCCTGACAGCAGCCTTTCTAGCCTCTGTGCAAAGAAACAACAAATTCTCCGCCTTACCATATGAGACCCCAAAATATACTATTCAAGACTTAATGTTGTATTTCATTAGCACAACAGTGCTTTCTGTTTAGCGGGTAAAATGAGTAGGTTAACATCAAAAAGTCTGGTGGAGTGGAAGCTTGGATAAACTTCAACAGGTAGTGACGCTAACGTCACTCTGGTTGGTGGGTTTAAAACACGTGACACCTTTCTCCAACAGTGATTGGACCAGAGTCGGTAGTGTAACGTTCCTTAGCAACACCCTCAACTCAACAAGCTGTGCTCGTATCAAAGATAGTCAGTGTGTAAAGATAAGTCTCCCACTTCGTATGCACGTCGTTAAATAGACAAATACTCTGAACGGAACTACTAGACCGCTAACTCTTTTTAATATAGAAAACCCACTACTAAAACGCGCTGTAAACTGAAAGCTAAACTTAAACTTTCTCTTGTAGAAGCGCCTTGAGCGTCTAATTTAATGAAGTGCTGTAGTAACGCAATGGGGCCACTTGAGGGCAATGAAGATCCAGAAAGTCTCATGTAACTCATCCACCAACCTGTCAGCATCAAATTAGACACAATATCTAAATACTACAAATATCCTAAAAACATATGCTTAATGTAAATGCAGGTGAAAAGGTGAAAAAAAAGGCATTAGTATTTGTTACAGTGCTGTTTTATATCTCTCATGGTGCAGAGTACAGTGTACGTTATGAAGAGTTTACCAGCATAAGTATCTCTAACAACAACAAAAACAAAAACAACAACAACAATAATAGTGTCTAATAATAATAATTTGTATTAATTGCACAGTAGCGTTCTCAATGAAGAATATGGCGTTGTAGTACCACACTGTGGCCGCTGGAGGGCCGTGAGCGCTCATACAGCCGTGTTCCATACGTGCTAATCTCCACCAGCGTCAAGGCAGACACAATAACCTACCGATACTTCCGGTAAGAACTTCCAAAATAAAAGGATTAAACGAAAAGCGGTACGTGAACAGGTATAGTTTCAGTTCACCTGCTTTGAATCCATGTTGCCCCCTGATCAAGAATGGAGTCTTCTGTGCTTCAGTTAGACACAGGATCATCTCACACCCTGTTATTTAACACAGAGTTTTATAATAACAAAATTGACTTTTTATTTTCAGTAAAAAGTGAATTCACAGGTCATAAGGGACTTAAATAGCAAGATACTGAATCTGAACATGCTGTGCATTGGTGTATGAGTGTATGATTAGTTTCCGTTCTGGGGAGCAGTTGGCACTTTGCATGGCAGCCACTGCCATCAGTGTATGAATGTGTGTGAATGGGGTGAGTGTGACATGTAGTGAACAGCGCACTGAGTGGTTGAAAGACTAGAAAGGCTCTATACAAGTACAATCCATTTACAAGTTGAATAATAAGCAGATAACACAATAAATCAGATAGCAGTCTAAACTATACAGTAGAATACAGTTTTCAAAGTATCTTTCTTAAAAATACATTTATATGAACCAGCTGATCTATGCTCTATGCTTCCATCCTACAAAAATAAAAAATAAAAAAATTACAATTATTACAATTACAAAATATTTGTATAAAAGTGACCTACTGTAGCTTTAACAGATGAAGTTGATGATGCAATTACACTTTGATTTTGACAACTCATTGTTTAAACTTGTCTTGTCATCCTTCCCAGTCCCACAATAAACACACTTATCGGCCGTTTTACGAAGCCAAGTTTTCTTTTTCTTTATTGGCTCAATCTGGCAACACAGAAAAAAACATCTGATACAATAACTGATCTCAATCTTGGGAAAGTGAGAGTACACCAGTCTTTGGCACTTTCTATTCTAAACAAACATGCTGCTTACAGAGTTAATCATCTGTGCTTTTTTTTTTAACTGAAATTTTGGAAAATACATTTTGACAGTTTGACACTGACTGAAAATCACAACAAGCAAAGTCACACATGTTGCTATTAAGGAAGGCTGCACCCATCTTTTGGACATGTGTACAAGTATAAAAAGGTAGAAATGACCCCTGCACATCTGGGGGGAAAACAGAACTGATCAGTCGGCAGTTATTTGCGACGTGTTCCCAAGAGGCGTAGACATGCTTCTCCATGGATGTGGGTCCATTAAATGGAACAGTGGCTTTTGTGCTTGTCATGTCAAAAGTGAATATCTTGTGCTCTGGTGGATTCTAACACTGGTTATGCAGGTCGGACGCTGATTTTGTCTTACCAGATCACACTCCTACGACCGGCCTCCAAACTCTCCCTGTTGCTATTTAGCTTCACTAGAAAGTTAGTGTTGGTTTCTCTCTTTATCTATGCATTTTCTCAGTATGAATGTTGGACAAAAGTGCATAGTGGCAGCTTTAGAAAATAAACCATTGATTCTGTAGGATGGAAACAAAATCCCAATGTTTACTGATTATGTTTTGTGCAGCTGAGACATTTTCAGTCAGGAACCTTCACAGTAGTAGATGCTAGAAACAACTTGACAGTGGTCACATCATTGATGTTTAAGTTTGAAAAGTTATGCATGGGAATAAGAAATAGACAAAACAACCAAGTATGGATCCAGGAATGCAAAAGTAGTTATTTTAATAGCCCAACTTCTCCAAAAAAGAAAAAGCAGTGCGAAGGTTTTATCCAATATCAGCTCAGACACATGAATCACTCGAGCTAGCTTTACCCACATTCAGCAGTGTGTAAAGAATTGGATTTTATCCTGCCTTTGTCTCAGTGTCCACCATGCATTAGGCTTAATAATGATGTTATAAATCAAACACCAGTTATAAGCTCTGATAGACTACACCATCAAAAAGAAAGTGTGTGCAGCAATTACTTTGTGTGGGCAAGTTATCTTGTTTGCACTAGTTAATATCTTTCTGGCACAAGTTATATCTTGTTAATATCTAGTTCCCACAAGTTCAAATCTTGCTTACACAAGTTAATATCATGGTAATATCTAGTTCCCACAAATCAATATCCTGTTTGCATGTACTATCTTGTTAATATGCTAACAGCAAGTTAATATCTTGTTCCCACATACAAGTTATCTGGTTTACACGAGTAATTGCTTGTTGGAACAAGTTAGTATGACATTTATATCTTGTTTGTGGTTAGCAAAAGTTAGTATCTTGTTTACACAACTTGATATCTTGCTTGCAAAAGATGTAACACGTTGACATTAATAGCTTCTTAATAACTTTGCACAAATTAATATCTTGTTCATACAAGTCACATTTTTTAGACCATAAGAGCACTAAGATCTTGTGATAAAAAGAATCAGCTTCCAGGACATCGGAGGCTAACAATGTCCTCTGATTCACATGATGTGGAGCAGGAAATGCCACTTTCATCTTACAGAATCAATGTACGCTATTGCACCATGCTGCATGTAGCTTCTGTGAGATTGAAAACATGAAATAAAAAACTAAATACTTACACACACAATGCATAATCCTATAAAGGAGTGCAAGCAAATTCATATTCATAGTTTTTTTCTGTGCTAATGAGCCCACTGGTGCTACATAATAAACTAACTGGTTGTGTTCATGGTCCCGATTTAAATGTAAAGCACAGAAGACATCACGACAGCAAACGGTCTTAACAGAAGCTAAAAGTTATCTTGTTTATTTGTTTCATTTTATAGTTATGATCATAGTACAGTGTCACTTCACTGTTTGGGGTTATTTTCCATTAAATAATGCGTATTTTGTGCCATTAGGTCACAGTATTTTCATGGATTTTGAGTTCAGGGAACACACCATACAATAACATGTTATAAACATATAAACACAAGTTTTTAACGTATAAACTTGTCAACATGCAATATTTGACAATTTAAATGAATACATTTCTTCACTGCTTCTTCTGTCCTGTTTGATGTCCAAACATGTAAAATCTTTTTTTTGGTTGTTATTGTTGATATTTCTTTGCAAAGTAAATAATCATGATTGGCATTGCGACCCCAACCGAGAGCATCGTTTTAGAGCACCACTGGCTATAAAACTCGGTTTCTGGCGTGTTATTGCAGAAACCAGCCAACATGTTTGACACGTTTCAGGCAGAAGCTGTTAAAAAAGTGACAGCAGATGAAAAGTCCCTATAGGAAAATGTCTGAAATCACGGACTCACAACTTTTACTCTTTGTAAAAAAGAAGGTCACCAGTGTGAAGGGCTGGCATGAAAAACAATCACATGGAAGGATTTGTCTCTTTTTTCCCCCCCTAAAGCACAACAAACAAGATCATAACAATATCAAACTTCATAAAGTGCAAGCCTACAATATCTTAATCATCGTAACTGTCAACACAAGGGAACGTGGAGGTTGATATTACAATGAAAATAGAAGAAAATGTATAAACGGCTCACTTTCCCAGACAAATGTAAAATGGAGAAAGCAGCGGTAGTTTTCATCTGCCTCTCTTCAAGTCCTTGGAAAAGTTGGAATGTAACATCTTTAGAAAAATGGTGAAGAAACAAGCCGGCCTCATAAGCTCCTCCTTAATTTCAGCTTCATTATTTCATTACACATTTGATAGACTTACTAAGTACTGAACAAACACATCTGTGCCAAAACATCACTTTACATTATCTGTACACATACTCAATGTCAATAAATATAACAAACACTAAAAACAGTGTTCTTCTTAACATTTTTGTCAGTTCAAAAATCTGAAATTCCAACCAGCCGGCTTTGGCTACTTCCTGTATTGATATTAGCGTTATTTGAACGTTTTGGTCGAGGGCAGTTAACTGTCAGCTGGTTTCGCTATCAGCGTCACTACAATGGCCTGTGCAATCACTCCCCCTGCTGGTGCCGGATATAAAATCACCTATGGCAACAAAATTCTGTCTTTTTGTACCCGCCTTCAGCTTTTCTCATTTTGGGGTATGTTGATATGCGGAGCATAATTCAAAACATATGAAACTGTCCAAACCAAAGTTTAAAGGCCTGAAGCATGGCTAGTAGTCCATGTAGTGCTGGACAAAAAGATATTACAAACTGAAAATTTAGCTTAGCACAAGTAGGGCTAAAAATGTAAATAATTAAAATAGTTCTTTAAAGGATAAGGCTGGTGATATTATATATTTTTATAATTATTTACAAAACCTATGAAAAGTCCCAAACCAACACTGAATGTATCTACTAACAAGTACTGTGTGTGTACCAAAGTCTGTCCCATAGAGCTCCATTGTTGTCCATTATAACACATCAGTGAGCCACACTGTCGCACTGGCTGACTGTTCCTTTACTAGCATGAACACACATACTGTAGTTTATTTATACACCGTCCTGCTGCCCCAAATACTCACTAGAGCACCAGATGTGGATTAATCCGCCACTGAAAACAGTTCCTGACAAATGCATTTTTTCCTGTTTGAGTAAAGTCTGTTAAAGCTGCAGTAGGTAACTTTTATAAAGTAAAGTATTAGCTGAAACTTTCACTATATCCTGACAGATGTACATGAGACAGATAATCTGTGAAACAATCAGGTTCCTCTGGCTCCTCCTAGCGCTCCTAATGGCATTTGCAAGAATCCACCGGGCCCGAATTAAAACAATTACTCAGAGCTAAGAAAGATAGTTGATTGTAAGTTCCATTCCAAGGTTGTTAAATATTGATGTTGGGAATAAGACTCACAATGAACCCAAAGCATCTTTTAATCTTCCTCAGCTCTGAATGGTTGTTTTCATTCGGGCCCAGTGAATTCTCGCAAATGCCATTAGGAGCACTAGGACTTTCTTTCACAGATAGAGACAGTTGATTGTTAAGTCTCATTTCCATGGTCTAAAAGCATCTGTATTTGATACCCTGTGAATAAGACTCACAGTGGATTCTTGCAAATTAGGAGCTATTACTTAAGAGCTCTAGATGAGCCAGAGGAACCAGATTTTTTGATTATCTGTCTCGTGTACTACTGTCAGGATGTAGTGAAAGTTTCAGTAAATATGACAAAAGAAATTATTAAGATTACCTACTGCAGCTTTAAAAATGATAGTGACCAGCACTAGGTTGCACCAGCTAACATGCTAACCAAATCAGCTACTAAGATTTGTTGCAAAGCTAAATCGACACTGAAATATCATATCAATAAATTAGGTCTCTATCAATGTGTCGCAAAATGGCTGCAATTAGTTGAGAAAAATTATGTTTGGTGGTGGTAGAACTTCTGTTTTACCACCAGTGAGACATTTTATGATTACCCTAGGGACATGTGTAACTAATTGTTATTAGAGTTGCAGCCGTTTCAGGATGAAAATGAAACTATATAATCTTTAAAAAATAGCGTATTCAGTAGGAACCAATGGGCTTGATTGACAGGCAGTGTAGGGGGGATGTGTTGAGGGACGGACTAACCCATTGTTGATTTTGGTCTTTGGTCTTTAAATGATACAAATGAAAAAACAACAGCCTTATCCTTTACATTAGAGGAGATTTCGTGGCAGTGTGGTTATTTGATACGAGACATCTTGTGTGCAAACTAACATTCTGGACTAAGAATGGCACTAAAGGTCAAAGGGTCAATCAAATTATTCTTCATCTGGGGAGCTTGGACAGCCAAAGTTTTGAAATTTGGTGAGTAGTTTTGAAGATACTTCGTAACCAAATGTTTAGACGTGTATCAACATGTTTAGGAAATTCAGTTACTGTATTACTTTAAATATCCACCTTCAGGTTGAAGTGTTGGACGGAGACCTGCTGACAGACACTGCTATTGTTGAGCCCCTCTGCGAGTGGGACAAACATTACAGTTACAATAGAACCTATTCTTTATTAAACAGGTACATCTGGCACCAGTTTGACAACAGACTACTGAAATGCTACTTTAGGACAGAATTTGTGTATTTTAAAATGTCAGATCAAATTTTCTGTGATCTTATACTTTGATTCAATGCTAAATACCTTATTTTTTGGGCACTCTGGGAAATTGAAATTGGAGACAGAAATGGAAGGAAGAGAGTGAGGGATGAATGACGATAAAGGTCCTGGGCCATATTAGAACCCAGGGCATCACGAGAAGTGTCTTTAACCACCGACTGAAAGCAATGCCAACTGACCCTTCCTAAGTCCCTTTTGGAACCTCGGTCAACTTCCTTGCCTATACTTAGATATGCTATGTGCTAGGCTAATCTATGTTGAAAAGAGAAACTCATTTTGAAGATGGTTAAAAGATAAAAGCATCATGTGTTGCTTAATGTTAACAAAACGCTTGCTAATTATCTAATCTAGATTAATTGTTAGTCTGCTAGCCTTTTGTTAACATTAGCTATGAGATGTAACCATCTAGCTAAGAATTTATGTTGATTGGCTAGCTAGTTAACAAGCGTTTTGTTCTGTATCAAATCGCTAGCCAAATAGCCAGCTAACTAGCTAGCTAATGACTGATGTAGATTAGCTAGCTAGTTAGCGGGTGTTTTGCATACAATAGCCAACTTAAAATGTGACTATACGATGTAGCTTTTATCTTTCAACCGTCTTTAGAGTTGACTGAGCGTCTGTCTGAGGCTTGCTCTACTGTTATTGGAGAACAAAGTGAAAAGGGGCGGGACTCAGAAAGGGTACATTTTTCTCAACAGTTAAAGTCAGCCATGTTTGATGCTGCTTGTTCATTCCTCCTCAGCTCCAATCAGGCTGTCTCTCTTTTCACTACATTGGGAGTTTTGGGCAGCATCAGTAAGCTTGAAACAGTGGATCAAAGGCAGAAAAGTCAAATTCCATGAAACCGACATGTTGGGAAAGTAACATGGCTGCAGTTCATGAAACTACACATTATGTGTAGTTTATAAAGAAGCAAGCCAATGATGTTCCATTCAACCTGTACAACCAGCACGTCACATGATATCCTGTTATCATTAAGGTAACTGAGGTGTTTTGGCTAGTCATTTAAAACGGAATGGTGTACATACTGTTAGCCTTTCACTAAGCCATCTTCTCCATTATCAAACTAGATTGTCTTCATTTGTTGACTCAATTAGAAATGTACAGGCCCATGCAACACATGCACTGGTTCCATTTACATCCTAACCCCATGCCATTTTAAAATCTACAAGACTTTTTAGACCCTCTAAAAGGTGGAGGCCATCCTTTCTGGATAAAAGAACAAAATGGATACATTTCTTTGCCTTTTTTTGCATGCAAATTCAGCACAGTGATGTGGAAAAGGAACAGCTATCACTTTCAAAACGCACAAGGCCGAAACAATGGACGATTAAAGGTATTAGTTGGATTGCTGGTTAATGATATGTGATATGTGTAATGTCTTTACAACCAATGAGGGCCTACAATACACAACAGAACATGACCTCATGCACCTCAGCGTGCTACACGTTAAGCTGTTATACAGCAAGCACTGTTTGGCAAATACAATAATCCAGACCACTAATAATATTTTTGGTGAAATCTTTAAAATTCCAACCTAGTGTGCGAATCATGTGCTAACATTATACTTGTTATTAAAGCTGCAGTAGATAACTTTTATTAAAATGACTGTCATATTTGCTGAAACTTTCACTATATCCTGACAGATGTACATGAGACAGATACTCTGTGAAACAATCAGGTTCCGCTGGCTCCTCCTAGTGCTCCTAATGGGATTTACAAGAATCCACCGGGCCTGAATGAAATCAACCAATCAGAGCTAAGAAAGATAGTTGATTGTTAAGTCTCATTCCCAGGTTGTCAAATATTGATGTTGAGAATGAGACTCACCATCAGCCCAATGCATCTTTCGATCTTCCTTGGCTCTGATTGGTTGTTTTCATTCAGGCCTGGTGAATTCTTGCAAATGCCATTAGGAGCACTAGGAGGAGCCAGAGGAAGTGAGTTTTGAAAAAATATGACAAAAAGTAATTTTTTTTTTAAATTAGCTATTGCAGCTTTAATGGCTTTGTTTAGCACTGTGTTCACTCTCAGCACCACCCTGCTTTGCCTTCATACAGATAGATAAAGTCACACCTGGAAGGTGCCCAGGATTTTTCCAATCTCTACCCTTTAGGCGTACACAACCTTTACTCTAACAAACAATGATAAATATTATTTAAAAAACCAAGACTGCCTACTTCTTTACAATTATCTGACATGAGGAATAAAGTTAGAGGCTGCACTTTTTAACCTTACATCTGGATGGGTGAACGGTGAGTTGAAAAGTGATTTGCAACCTCTCACTTGTTGGTTTACTCTTCTTAAATGATGCTTATATTTACGAACTGAAACTCAAAATGGGGATTTTACACTGTGTTAAACTCTCTGGCTTTATCTATGTGAACATTTTAATGTTGCACTAACATTTGCTTCCACAAGTAACAATTAAATGCAGGACACAAACTTAAATGTGCTGAATCAGTTATTTCATTACCTGTAAAAAACACAGAAAGACAGCTGTGAGGGCTCTGGCAGTTGAGTCTGTATGTACACGTATGCCATTTTGCCCTGTGTGAGGATGTTAGTAGGCTTCCAGTGAATCGTCCCAAAATAGGCTCTGCACGTCCAGCATGGTCGCCAGCTCCAAAATATGCTTCTGTAGAAGGCTGCTTTCCACCGTGTCCTGTTTGGGGAGCTCGGGGTAGGATTCCGGGAAGCTCCGGGACTCCTACAAGCACAACATCAAACACCTCTAGTCCCACAGATATCACAGCAAACATACTCTGAAGGAATACTGTCCAATAGCAGAAAAGGTGTTTCTGTTACTACTAGCTGCAATGAATTGTGTGGTGTTTCACTGTGGACACAGGTCTCAACTCAAAAGGGCCTTGCAAGTGTCTTTTTCTCTTTGTTTCAGCCCTCCATCCAAAGTAAACAGCCCAAAAACAGAGCAAACAGTTTCCAGAAGGCACAGATCTCAATAAGTGGCCAATAAATGAGCTACTTGTCCACATAACATTTATTAAAAGGTAAAGACAACTCAAAATTGTGAATTTGTAGCTAACTGTGTTGGTGTTCTGGCCATCAGCTCTATCAGAATTGTTTATTTCATTATTTTATCTTTATTTCCTGGTTTTTGTATTTTTTGTCAGACAGAGTTTAGTCACAGAAGAGGAAACCTCCCAGGAGGCTGATTTCAAGTGATGAAGAAAAAGGATATCTGTGTTCTGGGCTCATATTTACAGTTTATGGCTGTGAGATTCCTCTGTTATCTTTACACTGCTTGCCATGTTTGGTATCGCCAAATGTTTCTGTAGTCTTTCTTATTCTGTTTTTATTTGCATCAAATGCCCATACTGTTCTTGCATCTGGACTTGAGTGTGAAATATCTATTTGATGTTTTCTGTAACATTGAAAGCTTTGCACAGTATATCACATGTATTCCTACAGATATGGGAAAAAAAATCTAAATTAGATTTACTGTTCCTTTAACAAGCACACTGTTGGTTAATGCAAATCCAATTGAATAAAGTAAAAAAGATGACTTTACAACTGTGGCTTTGACCAAAGAAAAGCAATGAGTGTGCACCTGTGTACCCGTATTTTAAGTGATAACCATCTATAAAGCCCAAACTACAGATCAAATGAATAAAATGAAAAATCTTTTGTTTCATTGTTTTTTTAGAACACAAATTGCAGGAGTTGCTCTTAAAGATTAAACCTTCATTTTTTTTTTATTCCTACAGTTTGGGAGTGTGATGCGATAGTGGTCAGCAAACCATCTTGTAGGTGTTTTACCAGCAGTACCTGTGCTGGTGTTGCTCTGAATAGAGTGTGTGAATAGAGCATTGTGTGTTGGCATTTTTCAGAAGAGGAACACACTGAGAGCCTTATGGTATGTGTTAAGTGACCACAAGCCTAGGTACTGGGACAGCCCCGAATCTTAATCACACAATTACATATTTTTAGCAATCAAATAAGCAATTCCACAGCAAAACTGCAGCAGCAGTGACTTACCCGGAACAGTTTATGCAGCCTCAATGCAGCGGAGCAGAACACGAAGCGGATGAGCAGCAGCCGGAGGAACTCGTCACCGAAGAATTGTAAAAAGGCTTGGTCTGTGGAGACGGTGAAAACAAGCAGGTTATTATTATCCACTGACTTCATGGTCCACTCTGATCTTCCCAAGACACTGGCAGACGTGACAGAAGCTATGGCAGATATGCTACCTATGGTCCGTGATCGAGTTATCATCTGCCCAATGTCACGGTAGACTTTACGAAGAAATTCTTGAGCCCTCTCCCACAGTCCTCGTCGCACGCTGCTTAAGCCGCACACCGAGGAGAAAGCCAGGAGCGGGCTGTAGAGGAACAGAGTGAAGAGACTCCCACGCTGAGACTGATCTGAACAGGGAAGCACAGGTAAAAGGTGAGAACATCGGACACATTTTATCTCCATGATCATATAAACACAGTGTCTAAAAAACTACAGATTTTTTTTCGTTTCTTGTTATGTGTTCTTCGTTCACAGTGAAAAACTTTCACACTGATATGATTTAGCATGCGTGCGTCTGTTATTGTCTGTGCTACTGTGCACATGAACCATCACAGCATGTGTGTAAATTTTACCTGGCACAGAATCAGATATACATGAGACTCATAGGGCGGTCATAGCCGATCAAGCTGTAAACCGATCAATCGGTGCATGTCTATACTGAAAACCTCACTCACTTGCAACAATGTAAGAATATAACAACAATGACATAAAAAGGTCTAGCTGTGTGTGAAATATAAAATAGTAATAAAACACTGGCCTGACTTTCCAACTATAATATGGATTCATAAGTACTTCATTAAAATTCAACAAAACAACCAGCTAATACACAATTCCAGATTGTTGTTAACTTAAAGGAGGTGCCTAGTGATAGTCAATATTTTTCTAGTTTTCAACAACTCCCATGTGCAGAGCCAAACAAACACTGAGCTCCATTGTCCAAAAACTATTAAAAACACATCAGTGAGCCACACTGTTGCACTGGCTGACTGTTCCTTGATTACCATGAAGAGATACACTGTAGTTTATTTATACACCATCCTGCTGCCCCAAATACTCACTCTAGCAGCAAATGTGGATTCATCCACCGCTGAATATAGTCCCCAACTAATGAACATTTCCTCCTGTTTGAGTAAAGTTTTTTCATAGAAAAATCTGTACTTATCCTCTTACTATATCTTACAATCTTACTATAAAATATAAAGAACCAGTGGGTTTGGAGGCGAGAGCCACAGATTCAGAAGTCAGAAGATTTTGAGAAGCAGACTAACACATTGTCATCACCAGACTTATCCTTTAATGAACTGTTGTTCCAGAGTGACACACACCTTGTACACTCTTGGGATATACTGTAGGTGATAGTAGGCACACCAGAGGCTGGCCAAACAGATTTGTGAAATTCTATTAGGTTAAACAAAAGACAGAAGAGGTCATGTTAATTACAAGAATATACATTCACAGTGTGACATCAAATCATGATGAGTTTATTTTATGTATTTTTTGTTTGGTTTGTGTGGTTTTATTCATTATTTCTTTATCAAAGACATTTGATTTTTATTCACATTCCAATTCCAATTCCAATGTCTGAATATTTTTCTAAATTAAAAGTTCATTGCTCTTTTGAAAGGGTGTACTTGCATTAGAATCAATATATCAGTGGCATAAAATGACAATGATGATCGTCCAGCAAGAAGATTGTGACAGTGACATTAAGACAGGCCTAACTGCACTGCTTTCATACTAGGGCTGCGCAGTTATTCAAAATATGATCTATATTATCGAATATAGACAAGTGCAATATGCAAATCACAGAAGCTGCAATTTGTTTGATTAAGGTAAACTGTGTGACAAACAGCATTCTAATGAAGTACTGTAGTGCTGCAGAGATACCCTGGTCTACAAATCTTGTTCTCCAGATGTAAGAGTAAGAGATGTTTTTATTTTTTATTTTGGGGCTTTATGCCTTTATTGGATAGGATAGCTGAAGACTGACAGGAAAGGGGGGTCACATTTGGACCCATGGCCGCAGCAGCAAGGACTCAACCTTGATGATTCTCAGGAAAGTTCTGGAGTTATGATGTCTTACTTAGATACAATTATATCATCAGAAAATACGGGTCACACTGAATCTAAAAATGTGTGTTCAGATTTGAGTTGTGACTCAGAGAAGAGGTAGGATTTTTGACGCAAATTATGGCAATCTGACAAAAACCTCCGATGTAGATTTTATGTTTTTTTTGGGTGGCGGGGGTTCAGGTTAACTTAACCCATATACGTACCTTGTAGGCTGTGCTGTTTGAAGAATCCACAATGACAAAAAGTGGCTTCCGGGTGAAAGGGAATAAGTCTCCTGGATGAAGGCTGCAACATTGAAAACAAGTAAATGTCAGGTAGTCACATTTCTATCCCAGCAAGTGGACTGTAGTGGGTTGTATCTCTGCTGCTGGTTGTGTATACATGGTGAGAGTTTCTGAACTTGTTATTAACACAGAGAGTGGGCAGCAGTCAGACGTCAGACTGAGTCAGATGTTATTTGGCATTAGTCACAACAAGCAAAAGTAAATTTTCCTCTTGGGTTAGTTCTAGCAATGACCAACTCACTGTGAATACAGGGAGCAAGAGGAATTGTTGTTCACATTCAAATCCATTAACACTTTTGGAAATATTTCCCAATATACACTACCAGTCAAAAGTTTGGACACACCTTCTCATTTAATGTTTTTTCTTTAATTTCATGACTATTTACATTGTAGATTCTCACTGAAGGCATCAAAACTATGAATGAACACATATGGAATTATGTAGTAAACAAAAAAGTGAAATAACTCTAAATATGTTTCATATTTTAGATTCCTCAAAGTAGCCACCCTTTGCTTTGTTGACAGCGCAGCAAACCCTTGGCCTTCTCTCAGTGAGCTTCATGATGTAGTCACCTGAAATGGTTTTCACTTCACAGGTGTGCCTTGTCAGGGTTCATTTGTGGAATTTCTTGTCTTCTTAATGGGGTTGGGACCATCAGTTGCGTTGTGCAGAAGTCAGGTTGGTACACAGCTGACAGCCCTATTTGACAACTGTTAGAATTCATATTATGGCAAGAACCAATCAGCTAAGTAAAGAGGAACGACAGTCCATCATTACTTTAAGAACTGAAGGTCAGTCAGTCTGGAAAATAGCAAAAACTTTGAATGTGTCCCCAAGTGCAGTCGCAATAACCATCAAGCGCTACGGCGAAACTGGCTCACATGAGAACCGCCCCAGGAAAGGAAGACCAAGAGTCACCTCTGCTGCTGAGGATAAGTTCATCCAAGTCACCAGCCTCAGAAATCACAAGTTAACAGCACCTCAGATTAGAGCCCACATGAATGCCACACAGAGTTCTAGTAGCAGACACCAGTGTTTCCTCTAGGATTTTTTTTAGCAGTGGGGGCAGGCCTGTCCAAACACATAGTTCTACTTGTTGTTAAATTGGAATGTGAGCGGCAGCCAACGGGGGTGCATTATGTCGGCAGGATCATTTAAAAGGCAACTGTGACTACATTGTGCGCCTGCCTCATTTCTGATACCGTGGCGGCAGAAATTTAACAGCGGCGGGCTGCCGCTCCAAAATCAACATAGAGAAAACACTGAGACACATCTCTACATCAACTGTTCAGAGGAGACTGCGCTAATCAGGCCTTTATGGTCAAATAGCTGCTAAAAAAACACTAATATGGAAAAGCAACAAGCAGAAGAGATTTGTTTGGGCCAAGAAACACAAGGAATGGACATTAGACCAGTGGAAATCTGTGCTTTGGTCTGATGAGTCCAAATTTGAGATCTTTGGTTCCACCCGCCGTGTCTTTGTGCGACGCAGAAAAGGTGAACCAATGGTCTCTACATGCATGGTTCCCACCGTGAAACATGGAGGAGGACGTGTGATGGTGTGGGGGTGCTTTGCTGGTGACACTGTTGGGGATTTATTCAAAATTGAAGGCACACTGAACCAGCATGGCTACCACAGCATCCTGCCATCCCATCCGGTTTGCGTTTAGTTGGACCATCATTTATTTTTCAACAGGACTATGACCCCAAACACACCTCCAGGCTGTGTAAGGGCTATTTGACCAAGAAAGAGAGTGATGGAGTGCTGCGCCAGATGATCTGGCCTCCACAGTCACCTGACCTAAACCCAGTCGAGATGGTTTGGGATGAGATGGACCGCAGAGTGAAGGCAAAAGAGCCAACAAGTGCTCAGCATCTCTGGGAACTCCTTCAAGACTGTTGGAAAACCATTTCAGGTAACTACATCATGAAGCTCATCGAGAGAACGCCAAGAGTGTGCAAAGCAGTAATCAAAGCAAAGGGTGGCTATTTTGTTTTGAGTTATTTCACACTTTTTTGTTTACTACATAATTCCATATGTGTTCATTCATAGTTTTGATGCCTTCAGTGAGAGTCTACAATGTAAATAGTCATGAAATAAAGAAAAAACATTAAATGAGAAGGTGTATCCAAACTTTTGACTGGTAGTGTAGATAAATAATCTCTCACCAGTGCATTTCTTTCTGGGCCTGATTCCTCTTCTGCACCGTCTCTCCGTTCACCACATCTCGATTTGTATTTGTGAGAACTCCTCCAAAATCATACGGTCCTACAGGGAACGTTCAAAGATAAAAGCTTAATTGCTTCACTTAAAAACACATTAGATAGTAGATTGGCTTGTAGAAGGGCTGTGTGTTGGCAGGAATCTGGTGATACAACAGAGCAGTGACAATTCAATATATTGCGATACTGTAAGCAAGGTGATATATTGCATTCTTTTCTAAAATCTAAAATCTAAAAACTCTATCTTTTAGGCAAATTGTCATAGTTTAAAAAACACACTGTCATATGCATAAACAAGTGTATTTATGCAATCAGAACAGTGGGCATCAGTCTGCATTTGTATTTATCACAGTCCCTGTAACATCCAGCTCTACTTGTATCTATTAACTCAGTGTTTGTTACGACTTTATTCAGCCAAGTGCTCTCACCATATTTAGCAGCTGGTGTGTGAAGGGGACCTGTGGCACTACTGAGGAACAGCAATGAGTTATGATACCATGATGTAACACTGATGGATTTTAAAACTTATTTTTGCAGCTGAAGTCTGCCCCCACCTCTCACAGTCCAGCTTCTAATACCTTCTCTCACCAATTTCATCATTTAACATTATTAGAATGCTGCTGCTGCTGCCTTTATAAAGTACGAGAGTGCAAAACGTCCTTTCACATACAAACAATGTTTTCAGATTCATCAAGCTTGGTGTGGATGTAGGGTAAGAGGCTGAATGCTGTGCTAAGATGGCAACAATACACACGTTTAGACATCCTTTGCCTTTTAACAATTCAAACAGTTTGGTTTTAATATTTCATGATTATTCCATATGATATTAAACAAAGGTGGGGTCTAATATTTTGCATTTTACCTTCATAATCTGAATGCCCAGTAGGGAAAACTCCAGTAGCTGACAGGTAGACAAGCAGAACACTGTTGGCAGGCAATTCCTGGAAAATAGAGCAATGGACAATAGCAAAGTAATACAATTATGTTAGATCTACTAACTAGTGCTATTATAAATGCTGACATTAAATTATAAGAAAACAGGTAGGGTGTGAGGAAGAAAACTTATCCAAATATGGATCCAGATAATTCAAACTCCCCCAGACAGTAAATGACTTAACCCTTAACCCAGAGTGGTCGACCACTAATCGGAGGGTTGTTGGTTCGACACGGCTCCTCCCGCCACGTGTCGAAGTATCCTTGAGCAAGATACTGAACCCGAATTGCTCCTGATGCTGTGCATCGGTGTGTGAATGTGTGTAAAAGTGTGAATGTGGCACGTAGTGAAAAAGCACTTTGAGTGGTCGGAAGACTAGAAAGGCGCTATACAAGTACAGGTCTACCATTTACCATTTACCAAGACAAGATGCTACGTTTAGATGAGCTGAGAATCTAAATAGCAACAAACCATAACTAGTAATCCTGGAAGATGACAGACACTGTATATCTGACATATCATAGTGACTCTGAATGTCTAATAATAAACCGCAGGATTAGGATCCTCAGTTATTTTCATCTACTGTGTTTGAATATTTCGGAATACTGTGGCCCATAAACAGTATTGGAATTGCATAAACTATGACTGGAAAGTTAAGAGTCTTGTGAAGTCAATGAGCCCAACTGTATTCATGTGTGATGTCAGTCCCCATAGTAGCATCCAGATGATGTATGTCTTTCCAAGCTATATTGACAATAAGGAGGTTTCTGAGCAATTTCCAGAACAGAAGTGTCCGTCCATCCACCAAACAAACAATGTAAATGGTTAAATTGCATCTATTACACAAATGTGTCAATGCAAAAACCTCTGCAACAATTTATGCAACATAATAGGGCATAATGATATACTTAAAACATAATGTTCTAAGCCCAGTTCTTATACACTCTGAAGTTTCTAAATTTGAAAAGGCATCTGCCAAAAAAAACAATGTTCATTACAGATTATGAAGAAAAACATCTATGTGGCATATATTGCTGACCTGCTATCTTCTACCGTAAAAAAGACACAAATGGGTCCATGGTAGGGGAGGGGTGGAGTGGACGAGGTTAAAGTTAATACTGACCTTAAAAGAAGCTGACAAGAAAGTAAAAAGCTGGCTGAACGTTGGCTTGTACAGCAAATACTTGTGAGGGTTTTCTCTTTTAGCTGGCTTCTCATTGGGTTCCTGTGGAGAGATATTTGATAGAATAACAATTTATTCAAGTTCAAGTTTACTTTATGTATGACAGGGTGGCCAGTCTTCCAGGAGGTGGCTGTGTGTTCATTTGTTCATCACGTTTGTCCCCCAGAATGAATAAGACACCAGTGGGGAAATGATGCAACTCTCAAGGGGATGATGTATCTCACTCAGCACTCAATTATAGCATAATTACAGGTCTGCTTTTACAGGCCAAAACATGGTGACATACAGGTATTTGCTACTGATCGGGCCTGAGAGAGACTGTGTTGTTTATGAGAGGTAACATGTTTGCTGTTGCCTTGGTGGGAATATTCTGCTCTGAATTTGGAGATTCCCTGCAATAATGTAGTCTATCCATCAAGTCCAGGGTACTGTATGTGTACTGCTGTTGCTATTGTTATTTTAAGTTTAAATACTCTGTGTAGTATCTTACTCTATTTTAATGTTTTCATATAGTGTTCTATTTAAACCCCCTACAACTGTAATAATAATGACAGAAATGTTAGGTTTTTTATAAATGGTACCTACTGCAGCTATAATCCATCAATGAATAGTTCAAATTAAAAAGGGATTTACAAAAACATCATAAAACAGTCAATAAGTAAATGAATAATTTAAAATACATTAATGAATTCATAAATAGCTAATGGAATTTTAAAATATTTTTGAAAACAGTTTAAAAAAGAGAAATAAATGACTGGATTCACAAATGAAATTAAAAACAAAGATATACATCAGGCATTTAAAAAGGCATGTCCTTTCCTATTTGCTTTTCCTTTTCATATTAGCTATTCAATTTGGTTATTCGTTTAGCCTTTCTGTGACACTCTGGGCTGTGCGCTGGTAAAAAATCATAACTACAACATCTTCAAACATGACTTACCAGTGTGCCTTGTTTTGAGGTCTGTGTGGCCAGGTTTACAGGTTCCCTTTCTAAAGCTTGCAGCATGCGGAACATATCGATGGTTAACTCGCTGAACTTCACCTAAAAAAGGAAGAAAACAACACTGACGTCAATTTACTATTCAGAAATGTGTTTATTCATCAATATTTTAGGCACACAGAGAAAATTGTTTGCTAGCTAAAAAAATTAGGGCCTTCAAAGACCGATCAGAGCCACCTTCATTGTAAGAACTGATCTAAAATCCTTTCCAAATAAGTTTTACAGGGATTTTCCTTTGGTCAGTCAGATATTCTTACCAGCAGAGGGCACAGCAATAACTAGTGTTGTAGCACCACCCAAAGCAGGAGATTAAGGTTAAGTAATGATGAGGATGAATAAGTCAGATCAGAGAGAGAGTGGGGAGGGCTTTGTCCTACATATTGGAACAGAGAAATAACACCTGACTCTGTTCTAGGGAAATAAATGTTAAGTTAGAGCAAGCGAAAATGAACAAAACCTATTAACTACATCCACAGAAAGCTTGTTTTAGAGTTTTTATGTCATTAAGCATTGCTCTCCTTTGCACATACATGCGAGTGACACGATACAGTCCAATGTTGCCACACTACTCTACTGATATACAGGCGGTGTTAACGTGCCAAGTAACACAGCAATGTGTCCACAAAGGCAGTGAAGAAGAAGACTGCAAGCTGGTAAACATGAATGTAAACAATGCTGGTTACAAAAAAAGAAAAAGAAACTTTCAAATGTTTTACCAGGAAGGAAATGCAATTCAACACATTTATTAGAACTCAAGGAGACACACGTGTTTTGTTGAGTAGCACTGAACGTAAACAGAAATCTCCACAGGGAAACTTTAATGGGGAGCTGTTAATGGTATGTGACAGACACAGAGCTGGGAGACAGAATATATTCTAGTACAGATATTACACTGTCAGGTGTGATGAAGATGATACACTGAGGCAGCAGTTGGAGAGTGAGAAGTTTACTAGCAACTACTGAAGTCTTCAAACAGAGTATTCATTTGACATTAAGTTCATTTTTAATTCTATTTATTTTAGTGGATGTCTGCAATGCATGAAGTACTGCATTATAACAAGTGTTTTACCCCCTGTGGAGGAATCCACAATATTTGTATTTGGCACATCCAGTGAATTTTGTTAGTACCTTAGATCAGTGGTTTTCAAATTGGTCTACTACAGGGCCATTGACATGAAAAGGTTTGGGAACCCCTGCCTTAGTTCTAAATCTAATTCTAAATAGGTAAACGTGATGCATCACCTATAGCTGCAACTTGAGAATTAATCTGTTCATATGAGTTAGTTAAATTTGTATTGCAATATTTTGTTTTGTGATATTGATTATGGATCTTTGTGATTAAACCCCCAACCGCAGACAGCAGTGTAAATGTAAGCTGAGGGCTATGATGGTGGATGTTACAGTGACTGTGAGGAATACAAAAGCAGACCCACTGTTCTGGCTGCATAAAAAAATAAACCTTTTCATGCAGCTTTCATGCACTTTGTGGTGTGTTCTTTATACTATGATGGTTCTGATAAACTTTTTAATAAACATAGTTTGTCTATACAGTAGTGAAACTGTAAAAGAGCAACATCAGAGACGACAGAGCTGCAGGTTATTCTTGTAAGTTCTATATGGAAAAGTTGTTCCAAATGTTTCCTTCCTTGTTTGTTTGAGAGCCAACAAGAAGCTTTACTCACTAAGACTGGCCATGTTGATGTGTATGAAGTGTTAGGAATTGTGAATTAGAATTAGTGGGTTAAAACCTGGTTGTTACAGTTGCCGATGATTAGTGCATCTGCAAGGACGAGCTGCCCAACCACCATGCCTTGTTCCAGTGGAGGCACACTTCCCTCCTGCAGCCGATTGCTGGTGACGACGACAGAGTTGTTGTCATTCAGAACCACCACCGGATCCGCCTGTTTTACAAATGGAAAGAAATACCAGTGAGCCACAGCTGATCCATTGGTTTCTGTCCAGAAAGATGAAATGTTGCATTAAGGTTTTAATTCCAGGAATAGTTTTATTCCTCAATTTGTCTTGCCCTGTTACAAACTACACAAGTGTAAGGTATTATTCACTCATTGGTACATTTCGGGACCATCTAATCAAACTAATTTGTGACATGCATGATGGACAATAAAATAGACGGAGTTATGTAACATCTGGAGGGCTGGTTACCTCTACGAAAGCCGCCACCTCCTGCAGAACCAGATTCCATTCCAGTTGGTCCTCTGTGTTGAATCTCTGTGTGTAGTCTTCAATTTCCTCAGATAATTCCTGCAGGTAGCAGACACGCATGAAGTTCCAGTTGGGGTCATGCCAATTAACAAATACTTTTTCACAGTAGAAATGAGAAAACCCAATATGTCACAACAGAGCCCCACTGAGGGGCAAAAGAAAATACCCCAACCTAAGCAGAAGGCTTCACAAACTCTCAGTTATTTCCTTAATTGTGGAAGAAGTTGCTGTGTTCTCAGCAGAGAAACCATAGTTCAGCAAGAACCACGTCCAAAAAGCATCTTCCCTGGATTTTGAAGACATGGAAAGCATGCTATAGAGCCATTGTTAGCAACCTATTTCTATACAGAGAGCTTACAAGGGGTTATCCTTGGGGGGTATCCTTGGTGGTGAGAGCACTAAATGTCACTTCCATGCTTGTAACTTACCAAGCACAGATCTCTGACAACAAGGGCTACATATCAAATACAGCTGTATGGGACGACATAAGCATTAGAAAAGATATGAAGCCATGAGTCAGGAGCCACGAGCCAGAGGCAGATATAGCGTAGCTCTACAGAGGGAGTGAGGCATCTGCCTGGTCAACACCAGGGGATTGTGATGTGCTAGCCACCTGTCCACCTGTCTTTGTGGTGAACAAAAAAAAAGGGAATGTAGCCTTTCTGGGATTAATGCTGGATTCTGTCTTCTTCTTGGCCCAGCTGTCAGCTGGGATGGGGGGCATGTTCAGATCCACGGTGACACAGTTTGGCATAGTTGTAGGCTGTTTGGGTTGATCAGTCCTCCAGGTGGAGAGACTATGAGAGATCTCCAGCATTTTGTGGCCTCTCTCAGACTGGGCATTGGGCACCAGAGCCAAAGCACGATAACAGTCTCTGTGACCATCTGAGAAATGAGCATATTTCCTGACAGAAGGCCTGTAACTGGTCACAGTTCTGACCAGAGAGGTGATAACCACAGATTTCAGTCTGCTTGGCTGGAGTGGTGTATTTGAGGGTAAGACTGTGAAGGCTATGAATGGGGGTTTGGAGTAGTGTCAAATATGCACATATTAACTCCCAAGAACTTCTTCTACGTGAAGCTGTTTGTGTGTCAACAGTAACTGTTTTTCTCTCAGCTACAGCGCAGGAAACTCTTCTCCAGGGTCTAATTGAAATCCCCTGAGGTACACAGGTGTTTTCGTGCTCCTCAGAAAACCAGGGTTGCGGGCACCCGGTTAGCTCAGTGGGTAGAGCTGGCGTCCCATGTACCAAGGCTGAGTCTTTGCTGCAGCAGCCCAGGGTTTGAGTCCGACCTGCGGCCCTTTGCTGCATGTCATCCTCTCTCTCTGCCCCCCTTTACTGTCTACCATCGTCTGTCTCTATCAATTAAAGGCAATAAAAGCCCCTAAAAAAATATACTTAAAAAAAATAAATAAATAAAAAAAAACAGGGTTGCACAAGTTACAAGGTGTTGATCACTCAGCATGCTCTAGTTAAAAAACAAAACTTGCTTCCATACCTTCACCAAAACTTTGACAAGGTCCATCTTGTTCAGCAGTAAACAGACAACTATGTAGCGAGCATAATATCGAAGCTTCTTCACTACTAATTCAGGCCTGATGAAAGACAAGAGAAGATAAAATGAACACGTAAATTCACACAAATCCACATTATTTTTAATTACTGATGACACATTATGGTTCACTTTTCAATCTGATCAATTACAATGAGTTTAAGTGAGGATCTTAGTTTGCTTGCCTTGTCTGTGGGTTAGAAATTATGAGTAAATCTGATGATCTTCCTCATTTATTATGCTAAAAACTATCACAATGAACCCACACACTGATTTATTTGAACTCAAGCCCACATACACCGTCCTGCTTCCCCAAATACTCACTAGAGCACCAAATGTGAATTAATCCACTGCTGAAAATAGTCCCCGACAGATGCACTATTTCCTCTTGTTTGAGGAATGTTAAAAACTATGGACCAGCTGTTTTAGTAAATTACTTTTCAAACGTGCACTTTTAAAGATTTACATCCTTAGAAGAAACCAGTGAGCTTGTAGCTAGCAACAGAATAGGGAAGTCAGAAAGCAGCAACAGTCTTTGCACATAATGATAATGAGAACATCTGGCTTAGATAAACAGTCCCTCCAGAAAAACGCGATTATGCGATCGCATAATTAAATGCATAATCAGCCAAAGTCCGCATATTCATGCGGGGCCGCAATTTCGCCGCATCAATTGCCGATTTCCGCGCAAAATATGCGGGGCTTGCATGATTTCATAATCCCTGCATTTTCGTTGCAAAAAAGTCATACATATTTTAGCAGAAAGTTGAAAAATGTTGCGTTTACTTCACACAAGAGCAGCCATTTTCCCGTTGCCATGGGAACGTTATGAAGTGACGTAATTACGCGACGTGAACATCATCGAAAAGCTGCAAACCCCGCGATGATATTAGTAGTATGTAGATTTATGTTACAGTAAGAGATTGCACTTTGTGCATTGGAAGCACTTATTTAACAGAATGTCTGTTTTGTATAGTTACTTCTGGAAAACAGGAAGCACACATTTTATTTTTTTATATTTTATTTATTCATTTTTACAGAAGTTGTAGCATATTCCTTTTGTAAAGCTACAGAACTTGTTTGACTCATCGATGTTTTCTAAGTTTGAGCCATGTGTTTATTAAGGTCTGAAATAAAACAAGAGGAGAACTTAAATATTCCCAGCACTTTCTGTGATGTAGTGTGCTTGCTTATCATAGAAAGTAATAAGAAATGACTCTTTACATTAAGGTAGTAGCCTAGTGAGAACTTTTTTTTCTCTTTTTCATCAAACCGCAATTTCATCGCATACAATTGCATAAATATCCCGCATATTCCATCCCATTTTTTAAGAAAAGGACTGGATAAAACAGCAGGGAAAAAAAGGAAATCTTTAAAAAAAATGAAATGTCCAAACAATTTATGATTAGCAAGAAAGCACATCTACTTCCTGAAACTGCACCTCACAGTATTTGAACTAAAAATGTTGGAACTTACCTGTCCTCTTTGTTGACCTGAAAGTAGTAGGAGCGCTGACGGATGGCTGAGTAGAACGAAAAGGCCTCATTCAGGTAGCTTGTTTCTGAGGTACGAAGGCTGTCAATCAAGATTAAAAAAGTAGAAGGTGTATTACTCTCCCTGGAGGGGACTACATTTCAGCACACTTCATAACTTTTGATTCCACTATGCAAAATCTACAAATTGTGATATAAAAAAAGTGACATAATTTACGAACTAAACTTGAGTTTGAAAAATCTTCCATTTTGGCATTTAGAAACGCAGTGAAGTAACTGCAAAAGTGGACAGGAAGTTAGCCCAAATAACAAATTCACTTCAAACTTCAAAAATAAGTTCAAACATGTGCAGCCCTGATACACAAAAGTCCACGGGTGAATCACATGTTGCATTTGAATAACAGCCATTCCCAAAAAACTAAATTTTCTGCTTTCAGCTTCTCCAATGTGAATATGTTCTGCTTTCTTTAGTCCTCTATGACAGTAAACTGAATGTCTTTGGGTTGTGGACAAAACAAGACATTTGAGGACATCAGCTTGGACTTTGGGAAACACTGATCAACATTCTTCACAATTTTCTGACATTTTCTCTGCCAAACAACTAATCAGTTAATCCAGAAAATGATCAACAGATTCATCGATAATGAAAATAATCATCGGTTGCAGCCTTAATGCCCAAAATATATATATATGTTTGAGGTCTCAAGGTTGGCAAGTATGGTCTTATGGCACAGTCAGACTGAAATCTACCTGGCGAAATGTACTCTCCATGTGTGGCCAAAACCAGGAGGGGACAGGAAACATGAGCAAGAAATGAGTAGGGTTGTAAACACAGACTGCAGAAGCTAGCGGGCCAATAGAAGCAGTCAACTAGGTTGTAAACTGAACAGGGTTTTATCAAACACTGTTATCCCTGATGTAAAGATTCTGATTCCTGTCACTGTCCTTAAACTCACAAACAGCATCACTCCTTCTCTGCTGCTTGTGTCATTTCACCTGCAGTTATAAAACAAGAATATAAACATAAAGTACTTCCTGAATCATTCCCATCCCCTCTCTCAGACTGGTTGCACATTGAAGAGCCTTGTGACAAAGTTCAATCAGATTGAACTCAGCATGAAGCAAAAGAGGAAACACAGACAGACAACAGTAAGGGAGAGATTTGGTGACAATTTGACTTACTAGTAGTGGTAGTAAAGCTGTCCAATTTTGGATGCAACCTCCCCAATCTGCCATCTCTTCAAACCATACCGGCTGTCCAGAACCTGCCTGTCAATAAATGAAAACACATAACACTAAGCACTTGACAATAAAATCATTCTGACACTGTGACAGTCATCACCTATAGCATGTACAATCATATACTGTGGCCCTATTTAGATACATTTGCATCATATTTGAGTGAAATAAGGTATAAACTAGTCCTAACAACTTCAGTAGTGCTGAATTAATATATATATATAAACAAATTGGAAGACAATGTGAAGAGGTGGAAATAACCTGTGCTGCTGCTGAAATTTCCACAGCTTAGTGTAGACATCGAAAGTACGTCCAAAGTAGGACTGCCACTGCTTGTGTCCGTACTGAGGAAGGTCTCTGCAGCAAAGAGCACAATAAAGGTCAGAGGAGAGAAAACAGAACAGTCACATACATAACGCCTTAAAGTCACTGTGCTTCAGTCCCTCAGCCACCGCGGATTCTCCTACACTGCCACTAAATCCTACACACTGGTCCTTTAAGACTTTGGTGATGCTATATTATTATGAAGCTTCTGAGTTTTTGTTGAACATGGCATAGCGTCGAATATGGATGTTTCGCCATGAAACAGGACATTGTTCAACTGCAGCGTTAAACTTCAATACAATATATACAAAGTCCCATCCTATGTTCTATTTCCTTACATCAAATCATAGTATTAATGTACATAAAAGACAACCTGATTCAGCCCTATGGCAACCTTGTTTTACTAAATAATCTATTCAGATTAAAAAACATGGTTGTCATGTTGCATGTATTTCTGTCACATTTTCTGATCATTACAGGAGAAGATAACAGACAACTGGATTTTACATTTAAGGTAAATGATGCAGTCTGCAAATGTAAACCCAGTGATTGGTGTCAGGAAAAAGTTATGTAGTTAATTATGAACAATTAAAACCATCAGAAATGGTGTTTCACTATTTCACTCGTTTCACATGGATCTGAATTTATGAGGCCTTTCAAATGGGCATTTTGAGTTCATGATCAAGTCATTCTGGCAGTGATTCAAATATGACGAGAGTGCAGCATCAGTTCTGACTAATACACCACAAACTCAGTATGTCACTCACAGCTCAGATCATAACAAACAGAATGTACCAACGTCAAGGAGACAGGGTGAAAAAACAGGGAGCAGAGTATCTATCTAATCAATGAATTATTTTATGAATTCATCTGTCAGAGCAGCTTGGCCCCTTTTCTTTCTCCTTGTCAGCATTTTCCTGCTTGGCTCACCACCAGATGACAGGTTCACCGGCTACTGCTACTCCAGATGGCCAATCTGTCTGTTTGCACTCCACTGTCTCTCTGAGCTTACTGTGATATCCACTGTAACAATATCACAATGAAAACATCCAAAATGCTGAATAATTCAAAGTGTCAATCAAGTCACAGTTATGAGTCAATCTGAGGACTTGATCTTGGTTTGAATCTAAAGGTTATATATATACATATATATATATATATGTATACATGACATTTAAAACATTGATACAGCAGCAAACAACATTTTCTATGTAAATGTACAATGAAGTCTTGAGAAGAGAATGACATCACACTCACTCTCCGAGTCATTGTTTACTTCTCCGGTCCAGTCGCACACGCATGGTGCATGTGAGTCTCTCTGTGTGCAAGTGTTCGCTTTCAGGATAGCAACGGCTGTTTTTCTCATTTACATCAGTAAATTCAGGCTTTATTTTGACCTAACCAGATTTGGTGATTACTGGAACAGTGGAAAGTTGGCTTTAGTATGTTTTATTTTGTTTCTGAGTTTGAATGAAGTGTGTTTTAGCAAGCTTAAGTAGCTGTTTTTGTCTATGGAGTCTGGTGGCGAGCGATCATTATATACAGGGCATTTCTGGTTAAACAAATTTTCAAAAATTCTTTCCATAGTCCTTTCCATAATGATGTCAGACACTTTGTCCCCAAGGATTATCTAACATTACATGGCAGCCATTGTAGCCTGTTTTGTGGCTATTTTCTCATCTAACTCTGTGAATGAAGGATTTATTTCAAGCAAACCAGAGTTGGTGATTGTTGGAACAATAGAAAGACTAACAACGGTTTTGGTGACTTTTGTTTTGTTCCTGTCAAGTTTGAATGAGGTGTGTTTTATGATCAGGGAGGTAAAATATGTGATTTTGTCAATGGAGTCTGATGGGCTGCAGTGCTTGCTCATTTGTTGTGGTCTGAGACGCTGATGCTCTAGTCTGAATGGCCAATTAGTCAGAAACAAATTGCAGTACAGAAATGTGAAACTAGGTTTGAGGTTATATAGTAGCACAAATTTTGACTACAGCAATTGGGAAAAGAAAATGTGAATTTAAGGACCAGTATGTAGGATTTTATAACATCTAGCGGTGTAGTTGCAGTTTACAACACCCTCGCCTCACCCTTATGTTCCAAGCGTGTAGAAGAAACTACGGTGGCTGCAAAACCTGTGAAAAACACAAATGGCCCTATCTAGAGCCAGTGTTTGGTTTGTCTATTCTGGGCCACTGTAGAAACTTGGTGGTTCAATATGGTGGACTCCACCATAAGAGGACATCCCATCTGTAGATAGAAACGGCTCAACACAACACTTCTTATATTCAGGTGATTATACATTAATTAAATCGTCCCTATGAATATTATATTAAATCTCTGCCAATAGATCATCCTAAATGTTACACAACCTTAACGTGTTTAAATCCACTACTATTGTGTGAATATAATAAATTGGTTCATGGACATCACATCATAGACGACACCTGATCTGCTAAATAAACTCAGTATCTGTGCCCAAACTGGTCTGGTATGTTGGTTCTGTGCATTCCTAATGGCCTAATATTTAAGTTAAGTAAACCTTAAATGTTAGACTGTGACAACCCATGAAAGTTGGATGATCTACACACCCAACCACCACACCCTTACATAAACGGCACACTCCTTTCTGTATTACCGTATTCTGTATTATTGTTCATCATGCGCCACACAACTGTCCAATATGAACATACTTCCTAACAATACTGGGCTGGATTCTTTAACATACCATTTCTTTACATTGCATATATTTCCCACAACTAGCCACTGGAAGTGAAGGCTTGATTACAATATGTATGCCGGCAGACAGGAGACAACAGAGTAAGTAAAAACTGACCGTAGCCCATTGAAGAGTTGCTTGGACTTGTCCAGGAGATAGCAGAAATCTGTGACAGTCTTCCTTTCTCCTAATGGAATATCATCCTCAGTCTCAGCTCCAGTCATGACACTGACTTCTCACACCTGATTACAAAAAAAAATAGACAGGGTGCATTAAAAGAGATTACAGTTGGTTAAGGCTCCCTTCCAGTCAGAAATCAATACATGCATCATTCAAACAGCACACTGTAGGAACAAGAAGAAACACAGTTTGACAGAAGGATGTTTTCACATTCATCTGCTAAAAGTGGAAAGTTTCTTTATACTCATTGAAAATCTAATTTTTAAGGGGTGGGGCCTACCAGCATTATTTGTGACATCACAAATAGTTTGGAAGTCAGTGCTGGTCCAGCATGCAACTTGTACAGTGTGATGTAGAAACTTAAAGCCACCAGTGCTCATCCACTGAGAATGGACTTTACAGTGAAGTAGGAGACATCTTGAGTTCAGCAGGAAAACTTTAGAAATGAACAACATTTGTATATTCAGAGATTCTGGAAGGTTTAATGAGCTAGTAGTAGATGACTTAAGGGTTTTAATGTGGAAATTATACATTTTTTAACAAAAAAAGACACAAATTATTGTTCCAAGCAGACTATTTGTATATGTCTTAATACGTGTTTAGAGGAGAGACACTTCATTGAAAAGCAATGATTCAAGAAAAGATCAAAAAATGTATACAAATCTTCTTTCCTCTCTAAAATATTGGATCCAGTGGCAACCAGACCAAAGTACCATTTGTAACAATGTCAATTTGTTATTACATCAGAGATAATGCTTAATCAGTAACAAGGTATCTGGTTGCAGATATCTTGAGTGTCTTACAATTGCCCTACTTAAATATGAACAGAAATAAGAAACTATAGAGGAAATGTGTCACGTGGTCACCTTTTTTTAGGCTGACCTGGGCTGTCCCAGATTTCATTCTCACAGTGGCTGCAACCTCCACTTTGCTAAGATGGATGTGCAATCAGGTCAAGGCAGCACACAGTCTGGTCACATTGTTCAGCTACCGCTGTGCCTTATTAAAATCATTTGGAAAGTTTGTTCTGCCACGAAGACTAAAGCTTCATAGCTGCTAGCAGCCCTCAGAGATATGGTGTCTGTGTGTGCCCATATTCTGTATGATGGAGGGGAGCTGTCAGTGTCTGCAGGGTGATAACCTTAGCAGCTGTACATCATGTGTATCATCTCTAACAAATGTAGAACTCTAAAAACCTTCAGCTTACTTGTTGTGTTATCATTAAGAAGGGTTGTGAACAGTTTAGTGTTTTATATCTCAGTAACAAACACAGGTTCCCACTCTTTATAAGAAATCCAGGAGCTTTCCAGGACATTTTCCAGGAGTTTTCTTGACAGTACAGGACAGCACTTGCTTACAAATGGTGATATGTTTTACCATTAGCCCTCGTAGGTGGTCAGCGTTTATCGGACACTTCACTTTTCACTATCACTTTTCGGCCTGCTCTATGGGAGCATTATGCATTTAGTGTTACTGTGACAATGACAGAAACAGTGGTGGATACAACAAGCACTGTGCAACACATGAGGCTTATGCTAGCAGTAATATGTCCAATATAATGAACCATTTGCGTCAACATCACCATTTAAACAGCCTCTCCATGCAGATTCAGACAGAGCAAAATCCATAAAGCAATGGGTGGGTGTTACACCAAAAGCCATGCAGCCCTATGCAGTTGTGGAGGATGCAGGATTTCAGCATTTGATTAGTAATGTGGCCATGATTATATAACAGGGTTCCCACTCTTTTAAGAAATTATTTTCCAGGGCCTTTCCAAGACATTTCCAGGGCTTTTCTTGACAATGTGGGACAGCACCTGCTCCCACACACACATATATCATTTACCAGAAAGCTTAGTATTCACTCTTTTGTTCCCAGTTTTATATCTCCTATTTTAATGATTTAGGGTTCATGAAGAAGTGAAGCAGGTTCATTACAGGTAGGTGGTCAGTGTTAGTTAGCTTTCCACTGTTCTCACCACTGCCGATGTCTCTACAGCGTCTCCAGTGATCTGACTTCATTTTACTACAGTTCTCATTCAGTTTCACACCATGAAAGACCTCTGAGAAAAAGACACTGCATACAAAATCACAAAGAATGGGTCAGTGATAGCTGGTGCCATCATTATTAGCCATATTCATTATTAGTAATTGGCTCCCTCAGCTGTAATACAAACTAATGCTGATAGTAATGAACTCAGGTAATCTAACATTAACCTAACTAGCTAATAATGAACCCAATTTCAATTAGCCCGTTAGCTATAACATAGCTACTGCTCTGTATCTAACAGCTTTCTATCATCGCCACCATCGGCAAGTCAGGACACCGCTCCGTTAGCGGAATACACATCTGGATAATACCACCTGCACAATAACACCTGGATAACAAAGATAACCAGTGCTAGCTAATACGCGCTGTCAGTTCATAAAGACAGCTCACACAGTCCGGCTGCAGCGGCTGCTTGTGTAATTCACATTGGGTCTTACCTCGGCAGCCGGCTAACGTGAATGAACAGGAGTACCACAGGGAGGCTTCTCAAAAATCAGTGCAAAAGCCACGACGAGCTCTGTCGGTGAAGCGCGACTTTCTTGGCATCTCACTGTGAGTAACGGACGCTGGACCGCCGTCTGACCAGCCGTATCAACCCCCGGCAGCGAGGACGGGACTGCTGTCTGTCCGCTGAAGCTCAAATGCTACTCCGTATGAAAGGTAGTTGTCCTGTGACAGGCGAGCAGGGCAGGAGGAGGCAGGAGGAGGCAGGAGGAGGCAGGGTGAGGGAGGACAGCCGCTGGCTCCGCTCCTCTACGCTAACTGGCTAGCTTCTTCCGGGTCAGCATTTTCAAAATAAAAGCTTAGCCGCTGTCAGAGCGCCCAAAGTACGTCAGCATGGGTCAGCTCAGTTACAATGTGTGAACTGAATTGTAAGTCCAACAATGAAGTTTTATTGTTAGAGCTATATTCGAACATGAATATTTACATGAATCAAAATAAAATGAGTTTCCTTTACGTGAGCAATTCATAAATCTTAATATCCATTCATTTAAACAATTATTTAAATGAGAGGAGAGATGTCTCTGGTGGTCACCTGAGACATGACAAGTAGAAACAGATTAAGTAAGGACCAAAAGCCTTGGGAACCTCTGGTTTGATATTTAACAATGCATCATAAGGAGTTCGGTCTGGACCTGCTCTATTTGAAAGTGTCCTGAGATAACTTCTGTTATGAATTGGCGCTATACAAATAAAATTGAATGGAATCAGACTGTCTGAGGTGCAGGGGTAATGAATATAAAATGAGCACCAGTGTGCAGAAATGTGATGCATTTATGGGGAAACAGCAAGTCAGGGTTAGGATTAGCACCCTAGAGGGCACTTTATCTTGTTTTGTCCATTGGAAGGACAACCTTGAGGTCACTTTTGCTGCAATTTTTGAAACTTCACTTCACTTTTTTAAGCACTCCACCAGTGCAAAGCATTGTATTTCATAAATGATCATATGTTCTTATATAAAATCTTATCCAGAAAAATTACTCTTAAAGCTCTTTAATAAATGTAGTGGAGTAGAAAGCACAATAGTTCCCTCTGAGTAAGAGTGGAGCAGAAGTATAAAGAATTATAAAAATACCTCAAAATTGTACTTCTTGTAGTACTAAAAACACACTTGAGTAAAGGTTATTTGCAACATTTGAATATACTGTCACACAGCAGAGTCAGATGGGATGGTGAAGCTCCTGCTTGATATATGCTTTAAATATTGCTAAAAACTAAATAAATACAAGAATACTGACTCATTGACCTTGATATTCGATGTACCTTACATCTCTCAACCTTTTTGGTGTCAAGAACCCCCAAATTGATACACATTGTGCAGCTGACCTTTATTTGAGAAGATGTAGTCTCAGGGATCCACCAGATAACTTGTTTAATAACTGTCTGTACAGTGGATTGGCAGACTAACAGTGAAGAGTGTGAAACCTATGAACAGAAGAGTCATTCTTATACATTCTCTCATTGGGATAACTTCTAGTCAATGAAATATAATCAAATTAAAATATTCCCCATTTTTCTGGGGACCCCGTGGAACCCACTCAAGGACTCACTCAAACCCCAACCCAGGTTGAGAACTAAATGGTAAATGGACCTGTACTTGTATAGCACCTTTCAAAGCGCTTTCACACTACATGCCACATTCACCCTTTCACACACATTAACACAGTGATGGCAAAGTCTAAACTGCCTTAAATAAAATAAAATAAAATAAAATATATATACTCATGTGTAATACAAAGTAGCACACGTACAATTATTTGAAGCTTACGCTTTGCAGACTGGGTTCTGATATAGTAACTGTGCAGTATTCCTGTCATTTCCCTTTTTTGTCACTTTAAGCATTCTTCCAAGTCAGCCTTTTTTCATTTGGTCCACGTAAAAACATGAACCATGCAGGCTGGACCACCATGACCAGTCCCATAAATGCATCCTGTTCATTGTACATCAGAATCATCCTTTTGTTTCTGCTCACAGATTATAATGGTTAGGACTACATTATGACAATCCATTTGTTGTTCAAGTGATTACTATTCAAAAGACTTAATGACTAATGTTTTATTGAAATTACAAAACAGGGGAATAACATCAAATAGAACCATTCTCTTCTACAAATACAACTACAGAGCTGAGCTATTCAAGAAAATGCACTTGCAGTGGAAAATTTATTTTAAAATTTAAATGATTGCTTTTAAGAGTCACTGTTGCAGCAACAATTCATCACACTATCAAAACAAGTCAGACACAGTGATGAGACAATGTAAAAGTAAATGCCAATTTTAAGACAGACACTTGTGGGTGTTTGTCATAAACAGTGTCTGCAGTGACACAGCACACTTTTTAAAAACAATAAATTAAGAAAATCTAAAAGTGACGCTTAAAAAGAAAACCTTGCAATTAAGGCAGAGCGCTGTAGGATGGGCTCAGCTGTTTAAACATACAGTGGGTCTTGTGGGTGTTCAGACAGGAGCAATTATTACAACAGTTTATGTCTTATTTCCAGAAATGATCACCCTAAGAGGAGAAAACTAGTCTTTCAAAAGGCAACCATGAGATCAAACTGCTACAATACTTAAAGAAAAATATATATCATTTCATTTGAATGTGTATTATTGGCAGCTACCACTCAGTTTAAAAGGTTTTATTTGCTTCAGATGGATACATAACATCAAAATTAAGTAAATTAATTCAATTTAACATTTCCTTATCAATAAATGAAGAAAGTATCATTTTCTCACTGGGGGTCGGGGCGGCGGACAAGGTTTTTTCCTTTACGACCGAACAAAATGAGTGTGGTGCAAACACAGTGTAGCCTCGGGAGAGCCCCATGCTACTCAAGATGCTGTGGACCTGAAAGGGACGTTACTCCCACAGACTTCTTAAAATATGTTGCATATAAATACATTTCAGAGTTGAGATCTCCGGCAGGTGGAGAGAAGACAGAACTGGCTCTTGTCATTAGAGGAAGTAGGGGGTGGTCGTCCGGGGAGGTATGACGCGCTCAGAGTCGGGAACAGCGCGAAACAGCTTGGGCTCTCGCCTGTTGACGTCCTTGAAGACCATGATGGACGCAATGTTTCCGCAGCGGTAGCAGTAGTTGGGCGCTGACCACACGGTCACCAGCTTCTCGTCAAACATGAACTTGTAGCCTTCATGTACAAGCTGGTGGGCGCGGCAGATGAGCTTCAAGTTGTTGATGTGAACAAACTAAAATATGAAAAATATGAGGATTACTTTCACAGGGTTACAACAGCTACAGAAAATAAATTCGCTGTTAGGTGATAGTATGTGAAAGGTTATCCACAAAGATTATTGTAACTATTCATTTCATCACACACACAAAAATCCATGACTTTTCCAGTAGGGATTCATGATTTTCCTAATAATAAAATATCTGAAAATGTTAAAAAAAAAAAAAAATTGGATCAGTGTTTCCCAAAGCCCAACTGACATCCTCAAATGTCTTGTTTTGTCCACAACCCAAAGATATTCAGTTTACTGTCATAGAGGATAAAAGAAAGCAGAAACTGTTCACATTGGAGAAGCTTAAAGCAGAGACATTTGGACTTTTTTTTTGCTGCGGGTCAAAGGATGTTTTTTTCTTCTCTCCATTTTCAGCTGACTACTTTCAAATGTCAACAACACAACGTACCTCATTGGTGACCTTGGAGCCAAACAGCCAGCCTGCACCTCGTGGACTGATGGCCCAGGTGTCCACGTCCTCTGGATCAGACCACACGAGATCACAGAAGGCCCCCTTGTGGGGAATCTCCTGGTTGCGTTCGATGGTGCGGATCTGGTCCAGAGTCTTGATGTCAGGTGAAAGACCACCATGGACACACAGGACCTGCTCATCTATCAACTGGGATTGGAGATGAAAAGATGTTAAAGTCAGGCAGTCCTAAGAGTATCACAGTAAATATGACCTTAGTTAAAAGCTTGATCAGGTTTGATATTGACATGTGTTGATAAATTAAGAAGTTGACATCAGTAATATTTCAAAGGAAAGATTTTGCAACTGGAACGACTCTCTTTTTATTTTACCAACTAAATCCACTAAATCATGTTCCTGCAGTCTGTTCTCAAGATTTGATAGTTTGAATGCATCTGTGTGTCCTTTATGTTCCTATATGTATAGATTTTATTTTGCTGTTGTAGTCTGCTGTTTGGCTCAGGCAGGTGGTATACAGTGGGGTTTATTGGAGTGATGCTAGCCACATCTACCTGCTGTGCACTGCAACCACAATGAAAATGGTCCTGTTCTAAGATGTTTGGCTTTCTTTAGATTAGTGTGTCATAATGGAAGACAACAACCCGGTATTTTGGACACCCCAGGAGCCGGTAAATTCAGACTTAGTTAACGTTTATGTAATAAGTAGGCTTAGTTTACTAAATTAACACAAGTTGCATCGCATAAACTAATTCAATTGTTACTAAACTATATTTACACATAAAAATCTGCCAGGTGTAACTGTTACACAGTGTTAGCTAACTGAAATAGCTAACTAACAGAAAATGCTAATATATGATCATTTGAGACCGAGGAGTAAGAGAGACAATATGTGACCTGTCTATGTGCTGTCTAATAATGATGAAACCACAATATGCCTCAAATTACATAACATTATGGAAATAATGGAGACTAAATGAGCAAATAAATTCGGAGATATATATATATTATATTGTAATTCATTCTGCCAACAGCAACAGCCCCTCCCTTTTCTTCTTGTTGTTACAGTTGGATGTTTGAGCTTCACTGTGCAGAATGATGTATTGCTAATGTGGAAATTATACTTTTTTGCAATAATAAAAACAAAACATATCAGACACACATTATTGCTCCAAGCAGAATATTTGTATATGACATAACACATGTCTTGAGGGGATCTTTAAGTAAATTCACTTTGTTGAGGAAAAACCACAATCTTTGGAAGAGAACTGATCCATGTTTATGTCCTACCTGTGATCAAGACACATATACATATTATATAATATAATATATATATATATATATATATATATATATATATATATATATATATATATATATATACACACACACACACACATACACACACACACCCCCCCAACTACAAAAACAACAAAAATAACACAACAAGCAAACATGTTCAGGTAACTAATGTGAAAGAAGCATGAATGAACTTACAGCTGCCACAGTCAGCATGTCAAACACTTTTGTGCAATACCGCCAGGCATTTGCATTTCCATATTTTGTTTGGCACTCATCTACAAAGAAGCAGAACAAACACAGCAATGTGGTTTGATGAGCTTGTGAAACAGAAACCATTTGAAGACATAAACAGTAACAGTGAAGAACATTGTGTACCTACCATAGAAGCCGTACACTTGTGTTATTTGTCTGCTTTCATGGTTTCCACGGAGAAGAGTGATACGGTCCGGCCACTTTGCCTTTAAAGCTAGCAGGTGTGTAAATGTCTCCAAGCTATAATATCCTCTGTCTACAAAGTCTCCCTAGAAAAAGGGAAAGAGACACCATCAGAGACCCCAAAAGATTTAATAGTCAGGATACAGTGATACCTGGGTACAGAATAACTGTAGTTACTTTCAACCCGTTTGTTACTTGTCAATAAGCTCATGTTCGTTAAAGCAACATATTAAAAACATTTTCAGGCCTGTGTTGTGTTGTGTGCTTAATTCGAATCTAATCATTGTTTCATGGTTAGAAATCTTTCATTATGTGACACAGTGCAAAGCAGTGCAATTCAGGGTTTCTACGGTTTCAACAGGTTCAATTTAAGAAAAATATGTTTGTTTGTTTTTTTTTGCCTCCTTGTTTTGTTTTGTTTTGTAGTTGTTACAGAATGAGCAATTCAAACTTCATTAATTCAATAAATTTTTAAGACCTGTCAAAATCTGATTTAAGACATTTAATGCCTAAATTTCAGATTATTGGATTTTAGACTTTTTAAGACCCTGCAGAGTACCTGTATATGTATCTACTGAAAGACAATCTAATGCAATACATCACAATACCTGTGTGATTGAGAAAAAGATACCCCTAATTTGGCATTTTTCATGTTAAGGGTAAACAACATGTCAAGACATCGTTCATTCCTTTTTTAAATTTTCTGCATTATAAGGGAGCATTCCTTCCCAAAACCAAAACGTAGGTTGATTGACTCATTTAGAAATAAAGCATCTGCGTTATTGTGGCGTATTTAATTCTGTTGATAAACAGAGAAAACTTACTCACCATGAAAATGTAATTTGTGTCTGGAACTTGGCCTCCAGTTCTGAAGAGCTCACAAAGATCATAAAACTGGACAAGAACATTAAAAGAGAATATTTATTCTTGGTCACTTAAAAAAAAACAGACAAAAGTGAGACAGTTTTAGCAATATAATAACTCTGTGAATTCCTTGGAAATAGTAACCTCTCCTTTTTCTTATTAATACAATTTGTGCATGTCATTTATCGATTGCAAACATGGTTTAAACCAGCCATTTTCAATTGAAGAAAAAGTAAATCACTATACATCAGGAATCTCAGTCTCTAGGGTGATTTTTCAGTCATTTTTAAAAGGACAAATCTGGTTATTTATCATCTATGGAAGGGTTAGAACAAAAGAAAAAACAAATAAAATTAGTTAGGCCTACCTGACCATGAATATCTCCACAAACAGTAACTGGAGTTGAGACCGGCTGAACATTTGATTCTTCTAGCAGTAAATCGCAAACATAATCACATAATCTCTGAAAAATAAACATGGCAACAGTTAGTGGTCACAGGCATCCCGTAACAATACGGCATCATAACAGCTGAACATTGCAAGCTGTTTACCTTTATCAAAAAAACGGAGCTTCCAATTTCCATATTGCACATGACCATATTGAGACACAGTTACTATGGAAGTCTTGTGGAGAGGGGAAAAACAAGGAAGCACGCAGACAATATGTAACATTCAGTCTATGTTAGGGGTGTCGCCATACTGATATTGACAATATTTTAAAATTAACATTGATTTTGTGTTAACAATAATAAAAATGAATAAACCACTGATTTTGCACCAATATGACTGTGCAAATGTACTCAGAAGGCTGCTTTCTTAAAGAAGTAACTTTATTAAAGAATATTTCAGTTAAATAATTACATTGTAAACCAATTCTTTGGTTTTATATTGCTGAGAGATGTCTCTTATCTCTTACTCCTAACCAGAAAAAATATAGTTTACATGAACACACATATCGGACGACATATACACAGGTACCGATACAATTCCAATAGGTTTGTGATAGGCCAATATTATCTGCCCGATACATCTGAGATACATACAAACACACAATACACACAATAAAAGTTAAAGAAGATATTTTTTTCAAATTTTCTGTGGAAATTGACTTAGAAAGTTATGTCAAAGTAATGCGAAAGCTTTTGAGAAAGTATTTTAAAAATACTGAGAAACTCTAATTATTAAGAGGTACTAACGTTGGGTCAATATTTTGATAGGTTGCTCATCGTAATGACTCACAGAATTCTTTTTTTCACATTGGCGGAAATCGGCTTCCATACAGAACTAACGTTACTAACGTTACTAACGTTACTACCCTGATACGTATTTAAATTAGCTTGTACCCAAAGTTTGACCGTTAAACATTTGACCGTAACGTTAAGTAACGTTAGCTAGCTATACCGGGTAACGATATAACCAAAGTATCGATTCACTGCTGATGAAACCGGCTGACGTTAGGCTGCTGTTTGGTTTACGCTGCAGTGGCTTCCATGTTTCGTACCATTAACATATAACTATTAGCTAGCTAGCGTTAGTAGCATAAGCCTTCTCCTCTTGGAGACTTTTGTGGACTAACGTTAATATCGGTGACGCTTGTATTTGACCAGCCTACAAATAACAATTATCTTTGCTAACAGTTATCGCCGAGTAATAACTAAGGCTAGCAGTGAAGTTATTAGCCACGCTTGTTGAACAAACTTCTTACAGTCACCCCGTTTGCTTCCACCGATATTAGCAAACATTAGCCTGACGTTACGTTGATTTCCGCTTCTTAAACTCACCTTTAGATCATTTTCCGGCAGGTATTTGCAGTGTCTTGCTATTTCAACGTACTTATCAAGGTCTAAAGGCGCCATTATCAAAACGCTAAAGCCAGAAGACTGCTAAAGTAGATAGCTAGCAAGCAAGTTCCTTTTCTTCTTCCTCTTCACCGCTGCTTCATTTTTCAGGGTTCATCAGCGATGTCAAGTCAACAAATCATATCCTGTAACAACCTTCAAAATAAAAATCTTTACTGGCGAAAAAGTCTTCCAGTAATGAAGAGCACCACAATGAAATCAAGTGAGCCATGTGGCGGGGATTTTTAATGTATTTGACCACAATTTGTAATTTTGGAACATGTTCTGAAAATGCCAGTAGGTTTTTTTTTAAAACCTTTATTTTGAAGGTTCCATAAAAGCGGTATTATCTCCAGCCCACTTCACACTCGTCCAATGGCGTTTCGTGTGTAGAGCAAATGTAACAGCGCCCCCTGCTGTCTCTTCCACAAAAACCTGGAAAAGCATGTGTATTTGTTTGTTTGTGTATTTATTTTTGTTGTCTTGGTCCTTACTTTTAATAGTTGCGTCATTTTGTTTGGGTTTTTTTTTACAATCAATGCTTGCTCTTACAATGTATTGTACATAAATATGAAATTTCATTTAATTTTTTCAACTGGTAGTCATACCAGCAGAGGGCAAACCTGACCTAGGGACAGAGCCCAGCACAGGACTCAGTTGCCACCAAGTAGTACTAAGGTAAACTGACAGAAAAAAGTGATATATGTGGCAAAAATATATAGATTTTATTACAAATCTTTTTTTGTAATGAATAATTTGTGGATTTCATGGACCTTTGGATAAATCTGGGGTCCAAATTCATAATTTTGTCCATGTATCCTGTTCCCATCATGCATGTTATAGTGGACAAAATACTGGAAACACCTTTCAATATAACACAATCCAATACAAACTCAGCACCACCTACAGCTTATGTATTTTTACTAAATTGAATCAGTCAGGTCTACTACACGCTGTCAACAGACACACAATATTATAAACTTAAGTTAGAAAATATTTTATTGCCAGGCTAATGTATTGAACAGATGCATTGTATGGCAAATACCATTAGGAGCACTAGGAGGAGCCAGAAGAACTTGATTTTTTCACAGATTACCTGTCTCAAGTACTACTGTCAGGATATAGTGAAAGTTTCACCAAATATGACAAAAAGTTATTTATTTACATTATTTATTAATCATTTTTATTTAGTATTTAGTCTCTGCATGGTTATCCTAGATCAAAATAAGTGTTCAACATGAATCCTGTGTATGTAAATTTGTAAAGCTCATGTAGCAGTTGCCAACTGAACATGTCATCAGCACCACCCAGTTATGAGACAGCGTTCCCACCTTGTCTGAGGACTTGCCAAGCTCAGACTGTCAGCACATGAAGCAATGCATGATGAATTGCTTCTGTTATCCAACATGAATCTGCATCTACCAGCCAGACATTTCCGTTCCTCCTGTCAATCTGCAGTGTCTCACACATAGAGCCTGCACTGTGTTGCCTTCCAGACAGTGCAGCAGCTGGTCTGATTTTTACAACCCCCTGCCAACATAAAGCTGGACACAGAGATGAGCAGACATGTTAAATACAGGCGAGCAGCTATCAGAAGAGGGAACCTTGACAGGAGACAGAGAATCAATTGTTCCACACGGAAGCTGCGGTTAACCTGTGCAGCAGAGTCACAGAGCTCAGGAAGAATTCAGTTTGATCTGCAGATGTCTGTCTGGTTGAAGAGCACAGATGGAACATTCTTGTTCTTATTTGAGAAAGTTGAGCTGGAGAGAACTCCAGAGACCCCCAGCTGTGTTTACAAAGCATCTGTTTAATAACAGTTGACAGCAGATGTGTTTAAATGCAATAAAACTGAATCACCTTCTCCATATCAACTACAATGGTCTGGAAATAAGAGGAAAGGTTCCACAAATTAAATCTTACACCAGGACATTGCCTGAACACATTGTAGGAGCTTATGGAAACACATTTCACTATGATTGTGCCTGTATGATATTATACTTTTAGTAATGGTAATCATAGTTTGATCTATTTTTTTTTTTTTTTTTTTTGGCCCTCTCCTTTCCTCTCTATTTGCTCCCACTTGGTTCCATACTTAGGAAGCACGGCTTTTCATTCCACTGTTATGCAGATGACAGTCAGATTTATGTGCCTCTTAAAAAGAAAAATGAATACTCTGTCAGACTGCTACTTAAGTGTCTCGACGACATAAAGGCCTGGATGGCTCTGAACTTTTTAAATTTCAATGATAAAAAGACAGAAGTGATGGTTTTTGGTGGTACCACTGATATCCCCCCTGTAGATCTGGGTTCCTTGGCCCAGTATATTAAACCTAGCACCACAAACCTAGGGGTTAAAGTGGACCCTGAGCTTAAGTTTGACAGTCAGATCAAGGCTGTTGTCAAATCAAGCTTTTTCCATTTGAGGCAGCTGGCCAAAATAAAGCCAATTCTATCAAGGCAGCACTTTGAGACGGTAATCCACGCCTTTGTTACCACTCGGCTGGATTACTGTAATGCACTGTATGTGGGGGTTAGTGGGTCCTCCATCGCCCGTCTCCAGATGGTACAGAATGCTGCTGCACATCTTTAAACTGGCACACGTAAACATGAGCACATTTCCCCCATTTTAGCCTCACTCCACTGGCTGCCTATTCAATTTAGGATCCATTTTAAAATTAATTTTGGTCAACTTTGGTTGTTTTAAAGTGCTTAACAAATAAAGTTGGATTGGATTGGATTCGAGAGTTTTATCAACATTTCACTTAATACTTCTCAAATGGGCAGCAACTTTCCTCTTCCATACATCAGTAGTCAATAGGTTCGCTGCTAATAACAATCTGCGCTGTTTCGTTGCTAACATCTGTTGTCACTCACTTCAGTTGTGTTGTGGCTTTTGGAATTCGCTGATGCCACCGTACAACCCCTCGCCTCACTGTCCTATTCCAAGCTTGTAGGAGAAACTATGGTGACTGCAAAACACACAAAAAATGTGAACAGTCCTATCTAGAGTTTGGTTTGTCTCCATGGAAGGTGACCCCTGTCTGTAGATAAAAACAGCTCATTCTAAGGTGACAAAAACACAATAATTCCTAGGTGATATTACAATAATGGAAACATATCGGAATAAATACTATATTCCATTTCTGCCAATAGATCCTCCTGAATGTTACACACTGCACCTTTAAACTGAACAGTCACTATTCACGTCAACTATACTTGTAGGTAATCAGAGGAACATTAGCAAGTTAATTTATGCTTTTTCAGTTTTTAATTTTCTCTTATGTGACCTTGGAATCACCAATGTACCTTTAACTCTTCACATTGTATCTATTGTGAATAAACCCATATTCTCACCCATATGTTTTATGCAGTCAATGTCTAATACAATGACAAATTATTAATTTGTACTATAGGTTTTTCAGAAAATGTCCCTATAATTCCCCATTTCTTTTGTATAAGGTGTAATATTTTCACTGTTTGATTTTGAAGTAATCCAAAAGTATTCAGGTTAGATAATTTGTATCCACTAACTTACAACATTTTTCAACACTGCACATATAAAAACTGTTTGCAACAGATATTTTGGAGTCAGTTTTGCTGTGCTTTTCCACAACATTCACACACATTGGTTGAGGCCCTTTAGACTGAACTTCAACTGTATTAGATCCCATCCAGTGAGTATAGGTGGGTGGCATTTCATCATTCCACTTGAGAAGGATCTTCTGGCAATCAGAAACTCAAATGTCATGCAGTAAGGTGTTTCATTTATATTTAGGGATTTATTTCTTTAGCAGCTCCAAATATTGCTGAGACAAGGTTTAGAATATCTACTCCTGTCTAAAGAGGGAACAAGAGATAAGTGGAGGCTCACATCTGGACATATCTCAGATATATATTCTTGGGATAGTAACACATTTATGTGGGACACCTGGTCACCCTACATATTAAGTATGTCTGATTGTTAAAAATAAAAGAAACATAATACATACAGAGAATTGTATCAAAAGTTTCTAAAAATACCACAAAAACTAAAATATTTACAGGGTTAGTGTTATCTGCTCAAAATTCATCCAAATCTCTGGTTTTAAACAAACTAATGACGGAACAATGATCCATTTTATCAGTTTTTATAACCAGTTGACAACATTGAAGTTATAGAGCTCCTGGGTTCTGGCTCAGCTGTTCCTCGGAACGGAGTTCTATTGCCTCCGGGCTGAGGTTACATGTGGCGGCTGGCTGGGGAGGCAGTGGTCCTTTGTCAGTCACTTCCCCTGATGTTGGAGCTTGTGTGCACCAGTTGGACCCAGTGAAGTTCTCTTCTGGGTCTCCAGGTTGAGCTGTCTTCTCTTCCTGTCTAGGCTTTAGGGCAGAAGAAATATGTGTTTAAATCTTGAAGGGACAGTGTGTCAGTTTTAGTGGAATCTAGCAGTGAATTTTCAGCTGGTGTCAAGCTGTGAAGTGTCTAAGAGAAAGTGCAGTGGCTGTGAAACTCTCAAAAGATCAACAGGGAAGGGACGGAACACGTACCTACTGCTGGGCACTGCAGTCACATCATCCATCTTTTTTGTTGGACGTTGCCTTCGGGCCTCCAGTGGATTCCACACTGATGCACCATCAAAGACCCTGAAGGTTCTGGAGGGAGGAAAGTTTGGGAGAGACACGTCCTCCATGACAACATCCTCGATGTCCCTCTGTGGCCTGTACAGAGGACAAAATTGTCCTCTGATGGTAGAGCCGTTCCGAACTGAGACATCCATCATGACGATGTCTGAATCTTTGTCCCTGTACAGAGGACGATTTTGTCCTCTGTTGGAATGTGGGCCGTTTTGTCCAGAGAGGTCCCTCATGACAACATCCTTGTCTCTTGGACTATGTCGCAGGCCAGTTTGTCCTTGGCTGCAAAGAGCAACATTCTTGACAGAGAGGTCTTTCATAATGAAATCTGGGTCACTGAAATACTGAAAAGCAGAAAATTTGGATACTTGTTAGGACCATAAGAGATTTAATGTTTAAAAAACTACAACTGAAAGCACTAAAGCCAAAGTGTTTGTGCTTTTACTGCTGATATCAACAGGTCAGTCAACAGGTCAACAGTCAGCCTTTGAGAAGAGTCTTGGGTAGGGATGGGATGATATACGTTATTATTGCGTATCGCAATAAAAACAGTCATATAAATGTATGGTGGTGAATCTCATAATCGTGAATATCCTCACATGGCTTGACCTGAAAAAGTGGTCTACCTCTCAAGCATACAGTCGTATACTGATTTCCTGATTTATTTTGAACAAGGGGAGCCTGAATCTTTCCAGTCATTCCTAAATCCTAAGCCTGTTACCATTGCTGAAGGCTCAGCTTGCCCATTGTATCCCCCACAAAAAGAGTTAAACTGGATGTGTGGAAATAGTAAAGATTCCAAAGTAAAGAACAGGGAGCTGAGGTTCATATCTGTGATGCAATAAATATGTCTTTCTTAACAAAATATAAGATAAAGCGATTCCAGTGTTTTGTGTGATTTTTAAAGTATGAAGTTTATTTTCATGATTATCGTGATTATATCGTGTATTGCAATTATTTGGGCCAAGATTATCATGACATGAAATTTTCATATCGTCCCATGCTTAGTGTAATTTGTGCTGGAACACAAATAAATCCTCACATTGACTGAGCTTACTTTGTTTCGTCTTTGACTCTGCATTTTCCTTTTGTAAACACTCAGGCGTGGGAAAATGTTTTTCAAACTGAACACAACTAGTGAAGAATCAAAAATTAGCTTGTCACAGGTCTCCTGAAGACTTCATTGGTTCTGGAACATCATTGAAGTTCTCAGGCTTTCATTATTTAATTATGGAACTGCTTTGATGCATTGGAGGTTCCAAATGTGTTCATTTGAATTGATTTAAAAATGGATGGTATATAAAGCAGCACTTTATTCATTGATGTGAGCTAACCATTCATGAAAAGGGAACAGAAATAAGGTCTCTTAAGACAGTTTATTTTAATTTTTACTATTAGGTGGTTTCTCATGTATCATATAATAAAGTATTTGAATCAGTCTGGATAAGATGGGGTTCATATATAAGGAGAGTTTTGCCCCACCCTCATTATGTGAGCAGAGATACACACATTCACACCTGAGCATCCCAGTAAGACCAGTCCTTCAGTGTGGGCCAGGTGGGGAGAATATGTCACAGTCTTCCTCGTTCACTCTCCACATCCAGCTTCTTCTCCCACACCAGCAGCCATCTTGTCACAGGCTTGCTTCTATCAGCTTCTGGCTGTGTGACACTCAAAATGAAAACTATGGATTGTTACCCTGTTGATAGGTGTCTCTGACAAAATTGGCCTTTGTTCTATTAGCTTATTGGTTGTTTTAACAGTTCTAATGCAGGACAAGGCTGTTTATCAGAGTGTGAGCCGGCTGCCACAGGAGACAGTATGAATATACATTTGAGTGTGAAAAGGACACGACCAGTAGGGGGTAGTCGAGCAGGCTGCAATTTTCTTCCTCACTTCTGTTATGAAATATCCATAAAATATGTCTCTTAGTCAGTTATATAGTGTATATATATACAGTTATAGAAAAGGGATCCTTTAAGGACAAAGGTTGGAGGCAGTGTTATGGAAGATATTTGGAGGGCTGACAGGACCCTCTTATTCTGACCAATGAGAGTTCCTCACACTTCTGTGTGGGTGGGTTTAAACTAATAAGTGTGTGCATAAAAACATTGGACACTATAAATGCTAAACTAGACACAATGTAGTTAGTGTCAGAACAACAACATGTTAAATCATATTAGTTTTTATAGCCAGTTGACAACATTGATGTTAAAGAGCTCCTGGGTTCTGGCTCAGCTGTTCCTCTGGGCTGAGGTTCCATGTGGCGACTGATAGGAGGGGGCAGTGGTCCTTTGTCAGTCTCTTCCCCTGATGTTGGAGCTTGTGTGCACCAGGTTTTAGTGGAATCTAGCAGTGAATTTTTGGCTGAAAATGCTAGTGTTTTGTGGAGTCCGTATTTGACAAGCTGTATAGTGTAGATACTTTAATTAATAGTTTTATATCTCCTAATATTAATAATATTAGTAATATTTTTATTGTGATATTCTTTGTTCTCTGTTTTTACACTACTTTGCCCTATTGCTGCTGTGTCAACCTGAATTTATCCTAAGGGGGATAAATAAAGGAATATCTTATCTTATCTTATCTTAAGTGGCTGTGAAACTCTTGAAAAATGCCAAAGGCCAGTGTTTGGTTTGTCTGTTCTGGGCTGTTGTATATCTGTTGTTGGCGGATAAATGGTGAATGGACTGTACTTATATAATTCAATTCAATTCAATTCAATTCAATTCAATTCAATTTTATTTGTATAGCGCCAATTCATAACAGAAGTTATCTCAGGACACTTTTCAAATAGAGCAGGTCTAGACCAAACTCTTTATAACATTATTTAGAGAGACCCAACAGTACCACCATGAGCAAGACCTTGGTGACAAGGGCAAGGAAAAACTGCCTGTTAAAAGGCAGAAACCTAGGACAGATCCTTCGGCTCTAGGTGGGTGGTCGTCTGTCTCGACCAGTTGGGTATATATATATATAATGCCTTTCTAGTCTTTCGACCACTCAGTGTGCTGTGCACTACATGCCACACTCACCCCATTCACACACATTCATACACTGATGGCTGCCAACTGCTCTGTTCAGTGTCCTGCTCAAGGACACTTCAACATACAGTGAGAGGAGCCGGCGACCAAACCGCCAACCTACTCTACCTCTGAGCTACAGCCGCCCGGAACAGTTTCTGGTTTCTCCTAGTCCCAATGAAAACTGAATGAAAGGGACATTATTTGTCTATTTGTAAGATCTCTATGTACATATTATTTATTTTGTTTAAATGCAATTTGTTCAATGTTGTGAGCAACACAAATTAAATTCCATTGATTTCCATTGTATCCATGGATTTCTATTGTATCCAATATAGATTGGATGTCAGAAATCTCAGAGACTGCTATTTTTGTTCAGCTGAACTGACCCTTTAGTGCTATATTTATATATCTGCAGGTCATAACATTTACAAGGCCGTGCTTATTTAGTATGTTTAATCAAGTTAGTTACATACTATCCATACTTGGAACAGGTAAGTAAGTAAGTAAGTAAAGCTTTAATTATATAGCACCTTTTTGACACAGAGATCCAAAGTGCTTTACAAACAAAAAATAAATACAAGGGTATATCCATACCCAATCAAACAAACATAAGGAGCATGTAAATAAATGTAAATGTTCAAGATCACTGGAGGACAGGAAACTTTTGATTTTGCTACATTTCATAGCTGCAGGAAACAGAACTGGACAACATGAAGGTCAAATGTCATATACTGGTCGAAGATGATACCCAGATTCTTAGCAGTGGGTTTGATATTAGTGCGTAGTGGTCCAATAAACTGATCAACCGCAGTGACAAAGTTTTCAGGGCCAAATAAAATGATTTCAGTTTTGTCAGGATTTAAGTGGAGAAAATTAAGAGACATCCAGTCTTTAGTGGCAGCTAAGCACTCATGGAGAGAGGACAGTTGATTCAGGTAATTGAGTTTTGCAGAAAGTAGATCTGTGTATCATCCGCATAACAGTGGTATGACATGTCATGGAAGCGGCTGAACAAATGACCCAGAGGAAGCATGTACAGGGAGAACAGAACTGGACCAAGAACCGACCCCTGAGGGACACCACAGAGCAGGGGAGCAGAGGAGGACACATGATTATTTATGCAGACATTAAAGACTCTATTAAACAAACAGGAATGAAACCAATTTAAAGCTGTACCAGAAATGCCAACCCAGTTCTGTAATCTATCCAGTAAAATGGCATGATCAATGGTATCAAAGGCTGCAGTCAGATCGAGAAGAATAAGGACGGAGCTTTCACCTTTGTCAGCACGCATAAGAATGTCATAAGACACTCTCAGTAATGCTGTCTCAGTGCTATGTTTTTGGTGAAAACCAGATTGGAATTTGTCAAAGATTCTGTGACCCTCTACAAGCTTCAGGAGCTGGTCCCCAACAATCTTTTCAAGGATTTTAGATAAAAAAGGAAGTTTGGAGATTGGTCTATAGTTTTCTAACTGGTCTGGATTGAGAGAAGGTTTTTTAAGAAGTGGCTGAACACTGACAGTTTTAAAGAGGTCAGGTACGGACCCTGATGTGAGAGAGGAATTGATGATAGAAAGCAGGCTAGGACCTAAGACAGGCAGTATGGTTTTTAAAAATGTTGTAGGAACTGTGTCACAGGGACTGAAGGAGGGACACATATTATCAACAGTTTTTGAAAAGATCTGTAGAGAGATAGGAGCAAAATCAGACAGTAAAATAGGATGACTGAACGTTGCAGGGGGAAGAACAGTGAGGGAAAAATTAGACCTTAGACCATGGATCTTGCCAATGAAAAAAGACAGGAATTTTTCACAGTCAGCAGGAGAGGAGGCATGAATAGCAGGAGGAGATGGAGTTACAAGCTGGTTGATAGTAGTAAACAAAAACCTTGGGTTATGTTTATTGCTAACAATCAGATCAGATCTACTTATTAATGTCTGCTTGATTGCTACCATCCCTGAACAAAAACAACCAATCAGAGTCAAAAAGTTGATTCTCATTCCCAACAACAATCAACTATTTTCAGACCACCAACCCAACCCACTCTGATTGGTTGTTTTCGTTTGGGCCCGGTGGATTCTTGCAAATGTCATTAGGAGCACTAGGAGGAGCCAGAGGAACCTGATATTTTCACTGATTATCTGTCTCATGTACTACTGTCAGGATATAGTGAAAGTTTCAGCAAATATGACAAAAAGTTGTTGTTTTTTTAAATAACCTACTACAGCTTTAATTTGTTTTCAGTAAACACTATGAAGAACACATAATTATAATCACATAAATCATAAATCCTACTTACAGTTATTTTAACCAAGAAAAATGGAACATTGTGCTTAGTTTCTACATACACACTTCAACAATTAGACAACTCCTTTACTTTACTTTCTATTCGTTGTATATCTGGAGTGAGAGGGGTTAAATCTCGTGTGCAGCTGGAAACTCGTAAAAAGTGTCATTTGAAGAGGACAAAGAAATCCCGTGGCACGCTATAAGACCTCCTGCCTTCATTCATCCCGCTGCACAGCGGCAGCAGTCTTCCTCACGCCTCCTCCTCCGCCGTTTCACACTGTTACTGGATCAGGATGCGGGCTGTCGTGTTTTGCTGCAGCATCTTGTCTTTGCACCTTTTCCTCTGCGTTCATTCTCTGCCGGTTCGCGACCGGAGGACCGCCAACAGGTACAAGCAGCTAGAGGTGAGTCCAGAGAAACACTGCATGCATGGGGGAACACAGTGTGAGCAGTTTGGGACAAAAGAGCAAGCTGTGTGTGAGAGTGATAAGATTTACATGTGAGTGAATATATTAAAACTCATACAAGCTTAAGCAGATAAAACACAAGTGAATTTCTCTTCTGCTTATATTATATTATATTTTAAAGAGAGCTGCAAACTGCTATGTCACTTTCATACACGGCTGCATGCCAACTTTTAAATGCTTTTGTTCTTCAACATTAGCGTGGTGTTTCTGGCTGCTGAATGTTAGGAAATATGTGAAGTTGCTCACTAAAGAGATTGTGATGGTTGACTTAAGGTCAGATTCAAAGCTAACAAAATACCGGTAACACTTTATAATAAGGGTACAAATCATAAGGTAAGCACAAAACTTCTAATGTATTGTTTTAGATAAACCCTTTAAGTTGCAAACATGATTTTGATGAGTTGTGTTAACGTTTGTATCTGTGTTGTGTTGGAACAAGTTAATTTCAAAGAGTAGCCTAACCAACTTAAAAACTTGTGTTTATGCTACATATTACTAACTTAGGGGTAATTAAAAATACCTTTGATTCTAGATGAAAATCTAATTCCTCTAACTCAGTGTAGTACATTTGTTGAAGTTTTGTAGAAGTCACCATTACTCAAAAAGACTTGTGGAAACTGTACATTGTTTTGTTCAGCCAAAACATTTGTTTTTAGAGAAGTCAGGGTTTCCCAGCCTTTTAAGTAAAGAACCCCTACAATCACTGTTGGGCAGTAACTCATTACTAGTAATAATATTACAGTAAGAATATACACACTATACTATACTGCACTATAGTAGTGTAACTAATTACTAATACATTTCAGCAGTAATATTACAGTTACGCCACCCAGAAATAATTAGTCACAACCTTACTTTTGTTGGCCTCCTTTTTTTGTGGGGAGTAGCAGAAAAGTAAAATAACTAGTAGTGTAACTAATCACTGTTGGCAGGGAGTAATAAGTAAAGTAATAATATTAGTTTTGAAAAGAGTAAGGAGAAATACATTTTTAAAAATTGTGTAACTAGCCCAACACTGCCTACAGTAGATGCACGCCCCTAATTTCAGAGGATTTAGTCTTTGGGAATCTCCTGTGAGTAGTTTGTTTATTTTTAGGTTTGAAGATAATTAAGTTTTCATAGTCAATAAATGATCAAACTCGGATCACTACTTTTTCCAATGAATCAAAACAGTCAACCCTGTTTATTTCCTTGTTGTTCCAACTTCCCAAATTTTTTTATAAAAGTTCAAATATTTTATTCCTCCTTTTGCTGTGGACCCCCTATAACTCAAGGACCCGTGTTGGTCCCAGGACCCCAGTTTAAGAACCACTCACTTAAGTAATACTTAACTAATGCAATTCAATTCAATTCAATTTTATTTGTATAGCGCCATTTCATAACAGAAGTTATCTCAGGACACTTTTCAAATAGAGCAGGTCTAGACCGAACTCTTTAACATTAATTACAGAGACCCAACAGTACCACCATGAGCAAGCACTTGGCGACAAGGGCAAGGAAAAACTGCCTGTTAAAAGGCAGAAACCTAGGACAGATCCTCTGGCTCTAGGTGGGTGGTCGTCTGTCTCGACCAGTTGGGGTGAGAGAGAGAGAGAGAGAGAGAGAGAGAGAGAGAGAGAGAGGCAGAGAGAGAGAGAGAGAGCGCGAGACAGACAGACAGACAGACAGACAGGTGAATAGCAACAACAGTATTGGCAATGGCAATCTAGCAGGACCATGGCAGGAGGCTCCACCAGGATCAACAAGAACCTGCGAGACAAGAAAGCACAAGAACTCCGGGGAAGAAGTGAAGTTAGTAACATGCATAAATGGAACATGAATGAGTGCAGAAAGAGAGAGGAAGGGAGGAGCTCAGTGCATCATGGGAAATCCCCCGATAGTCTAGGCCTATAGCAGCATAACTAAGGGATGGTTCAGGACTCACCTGATCCAGCCCTAACTATAAGCTTTATCAAAGAGGAATGTCTTAAGCCTACTCTTGAATGTGGTGAGGGTGTCTGCCTCCTGAACCACAACTGGAAGCTGGTTCCACAGGAGAGGAGCTTGGTAACTGAAGGCTCTGGCTCCTGTTCTACTTTTAGAGACTATAGGAACCACAAGTAGCCCAGCATTCAGAGAACGTAGTGTTCTAGAGGGGTAATAGGGTACTATGAGCTCTTTAAGATATGAAGGGGCCTGACCATGAAGAGCTTTATAGGTGAGGAGGAGGATTTTAAATTCTATTCTACATTTTACAGGGAGCCAATGCAGAGAAGCTAGTACAGGAGAGATGTGATCTCTTTTTCTAGTTCCTGTCAGTACTCGTGCTGCAGCGTTCTGAATTAATTGGAGCGTTTTAATGGACTTATTGGGGCAACCTGATAATAAAGAGTTGCAGCCTTGAAGTAACAAATGCATGGATTAGTTTTTCTGCATCTGTCTGTGATAGGATGTGTCTAATTTTTGTAATATTACGTAAATGAAAGAAGGCGGTCCTAGAGGTCTGCTTTATGTGGGAGTTAAATGACAAATCCTGATCAAAGATAAATCCAAGATTCCTGACAGTGGTGCTAGAGGCCAAGTTAATGCCATCTAGAGTAACTATATCTTTAGACAGTGAGTCTCTAAGGTTTTTGGGGCCAAGAACAAGAATTTCGTTTTTTTTCTGAGTTTAACATCAGAAAATTGCAGCTCATCCAGGATTTTATGTCCTTAAGACATGTTTGTAATTTAGATAATTGATTTATTTCATTGGGTTTGATTGATAGATATAACTGCGTATCATCTGCATAACAGTGAAAGTTAATGGAGTGATTCCTAATAATGTTGCCTAAAGGGAGCATATATAAAGTAAATAGTATTGGTCCAAGTACAGAACCTTGTGGAACTCCATGACTAACTGTAGTATTTATTGAAGATTCAACGTTAACATGTACAAACTGCGAGCGATCTGATAAATATGACTTAAACCAGCTTAGTGCGGTTCCTTTAATGCCAATTTGATGCTCAAGTCTCTCTAAAAGAATATTATGGTCAATGGTGTCAAATGCATGACTCATGATGATTGAATGCAGGAATTAATGCAGGGTGTATCATTAATTCCTGTTGCTCACCACTAACAAATGATCAACTCACCATGAGAGATAGATCATCAGTTAAAGGTCCAGTGTGTAGGATTTAGTGACATCTAGCAGTGTAGTTACATCTTGCACCCTCCACTTCCAAGCGTGAAAGGGGAAACTATGGTAAATGGACCTGTACGTATAGCGCCTTTCTAGTCTTCAGACCACTCAAACCGCTTTTACACTACATGCAACATTCACCCTTTCACACACATTCACTCAGTGATGGCAGTGATGCTCATCAAACAGAAAATAATGCACACACTGATGCACAGCATCGGGAGCAATTTGGGGTTCAGTAACTTGCTCAAGGATACTTTGACATGTGGCAGGAGGAGCCGGGAATCGAACCCACAACCTTCCGATTAGGGGACAACCCGCTCTCAGTACAGTCAGTACTTGGTTTGTCGGTTCTGGGCTACTGTAGCATGGTAATAATCAGTTAAGGAATATTAATTCACACAAATTCATGGGTGTTGGTTGATTTTGCATTAATTGTTGAAATTTCAACTTCTGGGGCTGAAAAAATATTCTTCTTCTGCTTCATATTTCTATGAGAATAGACCCAATTATTATTAGTATTTTTTACACAAAAAAAATGTTTTGTGTTGTTCGAAGCCTTATCATTCTACTCTAATTTGTCCATTACTAAATCGTACACATACTGATACTGTACACACTCATCACCTTGAGCCATGCATTAGTTAAATATTACTTAAGTACATGATTTGACAATATCTGACAGATGAAATCATTAACCCATTAATTAAATCATTAACCCCACAGATGAGATACTGTATTGTATGAATAGAGAGGATTCTATTTTAGAATTAAAATTCATTTTCTTGCTATATAAAAAACAACAGTTGCATAAAAAAAGCATTATTTAAGCATTGTATGACATTCTACTGTACGGTCAAACAGGACAACATTTGTTTCAAACTTTCTGCAGCTTGATGGATGCCAGGCCTGCTTTCCAGTGTAGCTGTCAACAGCGTGAGTGAGGGAGTCAGATTAAGCAGGCAGAGGCAAGTCATCTGGCAACTGGTGAAGGTTAAAAAACTCTGCTTGTTTGCTGACTCAGGGGAAAAGGAGAAAACAGCATATAGCTACTTAGAAAAAGACAGACAGATGCCTCAGGCAAACAGACACTGTGCAGCCCCATCCAGGCCTTTGTTGTGCATTGTACTGTCTACAGAACTCATCGCAATTTATTGTATGATCCTCAATATTTGAGTGCTTAATTTGACTCGCCATATAAGACATGTTGTTGACAGATTTATTTTCCAAACATGCAGTCAGGCCATTACTTAGGTGAATAAGTGAATACCTCTTTCACCATTGTCAGCAGTAGCTCTCCCAAGTGTATTTAATGTAGAAATGTTACAAATCTATAGATTAGGTAGATAGGTTGTTTGAACAGTTTAAACTTAAAGGGACTGTTCACCCCAAAAGGAAATATACATATTTTTCTTTCACCTGTAGTGCTATTTATCCATCTAGATTGTTTTGGTGTTTTTCGTACCAAATCTACCGAACTACACCCATCAATAGCTGATGCTAGATGAGCTAACTAGTGTTACAGCTCAACTGAAGAGGACACCATGAATGATCCTACACTCATGACAGTGCAGGATCTGTCATGAGCATGAGCCTCTTGTCCACCTCTGTGCAGGGAGGCATAGAAAGAAAACAGTTCCTACATGAAACTCACAACAAGTTCTGTGGATTATCTAATTGTCCCTTTAAAAGGTTTAGTGAGTGATGTTTACAGTGGAAGATCGGTCTCTCAACTCCATTCATACTAATCCTCTTTATCCTGCAAACATTCCATCC